CTGAATGGTTTTGTTGAAATCTATTTAAATCTACATGTATGCGTAATGAAATGTTTATCAATAAAACATGAATTTTAAATTAATTACTTAATAAAAATAACTATAAATTATAATTACATAATAATAATACAATATATAATACTAATTAAAGGGAACAAGAAACTCAATTTGATTAACACAGAGCCGACAAAAATATTTTATGTTTTAAAAAACAAAATACAGAATAAAAAACACTGAAATAATAATAAAACAAAATATATTTTTAGCGGCTCTCTCAACGAAATAAGCACCTCGGGGTAATTTTTAAGAGACTAATTGATAATATCCAATAACACTTTATTATTTAGCACTGTACTGTGTAGTGTAGTCTCCAATCCCTGAATCCCCAACACTCCTCAAATCCCTAATTCCCAAAAGGCCGGCAATGCACTTGTAACGCCTCTGGTGTTTCAGCTGTCCATGGGCGACGATTGCTTACCATCAGGTGATCCGTCTGCTCGTTTACCGGCTTATATCATAAAAAAACCATGCAGTGATACACTGACTGGAGTATTCCAGTCAGTGTATCAGTGTATCAGTCATTTGCTACCATCCTTGCTTCCCTCGCGTATCAATAAAGCCGACTAAGGGACTACACATTCGATATAGACCGGGCAGAAGCACTCTCTGATAAACCTGAATCTGATAAATGAACCTTTTTAACTGTCATTTCCCGCCCGCCTAACAAATGTGGACATTATGGAGAACTTTCTTATGTAGAGGCGGTCTGTAGTTCAAATAGGGGCTGTCACAAGTCGTTAACTTTAACTTTTAGATATAAAAAGTTTATAAGAGCCTTTAACTGCCAATTCTCACCAGGAAAGGGAACATGCATCACCAGAAGAGGGAACAGGCATCACCACGAGCTCAAAGCAGATTGCAGAAGTTTATTGGATATTAAAATCGTCTATAAAATCAACAAATACAAAATAATTCGACTAAATACGACTAATGACTAGAAAACTTGACTATTCGCAGTTACATTATCAAACATATTACACTTACATACAATAACAATTACAATTTTAAATAACCAAACTAAATGAAATACATTTAAAATGAAATAAGTATAATAATTTACTAAACATTTTTTTCATTTTAAAATTGTAAATGTTATTTTAAGCCGTCCCGTTTCGCAAAACGCGACAAAAAGGCATTATTCAAAATTTTTACAAAAGCATTTTTGACATTATTTTATTTTATATATTATATATCATATATGTATATACTATACAATTACCTATCTACATACTATATCAAGGAATGTATGATATATGTAAGTAAAGCATGAAGATTAGATGTCGAAAATTAGACTTGAATAACGGAATACAATTTTGAAATGTGTACAAAAAATATTCAAGTAAGTTCTATATATATAAAATAAAACTTATAATTTCACGGAATATACAGCAAAAATATTAAACGAATTTCTAAAACAGAATGATTGAGAAAAAATATCATATTAAATGAAGTATTAACAAACTGATATTACACCATTAATATTTGGTTTTTTCAGATGCTATACATATGTACGATTGTTAGCCCAATTTCATTTATCAAAATTACTGTGCGTTTGATTAATCCTCGTCCGACAATCATAACATGATTAAAATGAAAAAATAATTAATCCTATACATTTAACATTTACACAACAAAAAAAAAGATTTAAATATAACAATAATATTACAAACGAAACCAAAATATAGACAATACAATATAAAATCATTTCTTAATTCATTTTCGTTCTTTACACATGAAAAGGTACCGTCCATTTGATATAGGCGTGCAAAATATCGTTAAATTTCCGCATCTACTGTTAAAATTGACATTAGTCCTATTATAATAACGCATATTTTCGAATGAAAAAAATATATATACAGATATATATATATTTCTTATTTTTAAGACTCTGTATATATGATACTAGATTGGAACGGAGCAATAGCTTACGCTAGTCTAGACATGCATGATATGAACACGCATACAAGGACATTTTAAAAAAATAACCGTCACTCATATCGCTATCAATAGGGTAGTTTCCTAAATTTTATTTTAATATCCGTCTGGTTTTAGATTATTTTAAAACATTAGACACGTATTTTTTCTTTTCTCACAAAATTAAATGCTTTCGACGATATATTGATTTGAAATTACGCGTGACGTCACAGCGTGCTACAAAATGTACCACGTTATGACGTAACTACCTCCCACTCCTAAAGTTAACGCCATTTTATTTAAGTATTGTAAGTTTATACGAGATAACTAATTAGATTTTGAATTTTCGTGCCCTGGAAACTACCCTATTATTTGAAACTTGCCGATGCACTGCCGTGCACCCAAATAGATATATAATACAATATTTTGCACGATACAGGATGTTTTGATTACTGACAATGAACACAGCGTTTTACAAAATATTTTATAGATATATTTATAGATTAGAAAACGAACTACTTATGTATATCGCCCTAATTTAAACTTCATTTAAATCGAAATAATTTGTTTTATTAAATGAAATGAAATGGAAAAATATTGAAAACAAATTGTATTTTTTTTTGTATAATATAAAAAGGAAAATGATATGGGCGATACAATAAAGTGCAAGTCTATAGATATACTATATCTACTCATAGTGTAAGCGTCTTCCTGGCAGTAGGTAAGGAGTAATAAACATATATATATTAACATACGTCTTTTTGCAAAAATACAACGTACAATTATATGCCTTATACTAACGTAGCGTTAAATCTCAGTACACAGGGGTAGCGTTTTCAATAACATTTTAATACGTATATGGCCGGTTTCATTTATTTTTTATATAAGTTTTTTTTTCATTTATTTTTAATTAAAATTAACACATACTTTAAGCTTACTAAAATACAGCTATGTGTATGTATACTTATAAAAACAGATTTTTTTGCTACATTTTTTTTTCAATCAGCTATTTTTTTATATTTGTAACAATTCTCCATTTTTTTTATTCGGATTTGTTACTGTATATCTCACACATACTTTTATAGGACAGTCGAAATAATGCAACTATTTCATTTAAAATAAATTAATTATAAATGCATTATTTCGGTTATCCAAGGCTGGTGTAGGTTAAAAATATTTTTCGTTTCATGTTTTTTTTCAATAATAAAAAACAAATTTAACTAACCACATTCACTCACTCGTAAATACTTAATTACAATTAAAATTTTAATATTTATATATTATACACGGATCATATTTATTATTTAATACACATTAAACAAAAAATATTTTTTGTAATCACCATTCTTTTGAGATCGACATTTTGTTTGGGAGTATGGCAATTTTTTAATGTTTTTTTTTTCGCAAAAATGGTGTCAATTAGGAAGCTTTTGTGTTATTATCTATATTTTTTTTATTTTAATTTGGAAGTACGTTCGGTCGGTCGTATCCAAAACAAATAGTTTCCAAGCCTGAACCAAACTTTGTGCACGTTTCCAGACGTTCTGCCTTCAAAGAAAAATAGAAAATGAATTATTTTATCGATCATTTAATTTCGTTTACATTTAAAATGAAATAATTTGTTCGCAATAACAACTTGTACTTGGCTATTTCGTTTATTTCACTAAACATGATGAGACAAGATGTATTTTGTGTGAATATTATTTTCGCTTACTATATTTAACCCAAAGGTTGACTGGGAGAAATTGTCATATGGCATTAAGTCCGCCTTATGTACCTTATAAATAAATAAATAAAACTATTTAGGTTTTTCTATAAACCTTTGAAGACAGAACTATACCCTCCTCGGACCAGCATATCACTTTATGTTAGCATAAAATTATCACTTTGTAAACTCGACCATAAAAAGTACGCCATATCGGTGACGATCCCTTCGATGTCATGGAAGTTGGTAACTCTTTAATCTTAAAGATACTACAATTTAAGTAGGTAATGTTGGAAAACATGGCTTAGATTATTATGGTCGATTTTACATTATAATTCATATTGAATTAGACCAAGAGATCAATTGTAACGATTGGAACAGTATCTATGTCGGTAAAATTTTTTAGGCCTATTGGGTAATATCTACTCGGCTTAAATCCATAACAAAAAAGTATTTGCCCTAATTAAAGTCAAGCGTCACGCAATATGCGACTTTATGGAGTTCAATAAATATATCACTTAAAGAAAATTATATTTAAAAAAACTCTTGAGTCTCATTCAAAATGAAATATAATGTCATGATAATTTTCGTGACATTCTGTTAAAGTTCGACATATGTGATAGGGAATGAAAAAGATACAAAAAATAACTGTTCGACACAAAAAAGATTAAAAAAGGTAGAAATTTAAATTGGCTGCAACGATTTTTGAAATAAATGACATCATCAATATCACTTAAACGAAATCAAATAAATTATATAAAAAAAATATTAAATATTCCAACAAATCGGGACTTAATTATGTATTTTTTTTAATTTACGTAAAGAATACAGCATTAAAGTTTTTATTCGTCAGTTTTTCAATGCACGTAGTTGTAGGTTTACTTAAGAAATTCGTTTTAGTTCACTCATTCGTTCTTTTTGGTGAGTGAATGATTTCGACGTGTTTACCATTGTAATTTTTTAGGCTGCCCGTATTTTACTCCTATATTTTATTAGCTGCAATATTGATATTATTTTCGCTTCTATTTTAGACAGCAAATAACTAGTAAAATTACTTACAGCTGTAACATTTACATTTGCGTCTTGTTTACCATTTTAATCGGAAATCTATTTCATTAACGACTAAGCCCAGTTCTTTTTTATTTAGCTTGCAATTTTAGCAAAAAATATCTCTTCGCCCGCTCTTACGTCACTTTAGCGCCTCTAATCTTGTTTCTTAGTTCATCTGCCAAGCTTGACCTCAAAAGGTCAAATTTAACCCATTTTATTGAATTATCTTTCATGCCCCATCACATATTGCCAAAACTTGCTAAGTCTAGTCTCACGCAATCGATGTAGTAGGCGGTGCGACATCCCTGTCGCGTTGCAACAAGTCGCGACGATTGTCGCGCAAAGAATTGTTGCGTCGCAACTCATCCTTGATGGAGTTCTCTCTGGAGTCGAGGCCGCGTCGTGGGGACGATGTCGCCTCCCGACATTCGGAGGAGGAACGTTTTGTATGGGTGCCTGAGGAGAGAAGGTAGTAATTGTTACATACATGGTTTATATGCCCAGTGAAGTAGTGTTATATAAATTATATTAAGTATTTGAGGATTGTAATTTGTAAATTCATCGATTTTATACGCTTTCAAACTAATCTGACTAAGATAGAAATTGTAAATTGTTTATTAATCATGCTTATATATCAGTGAAAAGATATTACGTAAATTAATATGAAAATAAAAAAATGCACTGAATCTAATATCTTACGTGCACTCAAAAAACCCTTCATGATTGTGCATTAAAATTTAAACTCATAAAATAAACACATTACGCTCTTCATGAGCCTATTTCAATTTGATTTTTAACAATTGTTCATAAATTACACGTCCATTATAAAATGATACCTATTCTCTCACCTGGCAGGTCTCGGCCGCAGCTCATAATCTCGTGGTCGAGGGAGGCGGAGGCTGGGTCCTGTCCGCGGCGCCCTCGCCCTCCCTGCTGGGAGTACACGCCTTGTTACTTGCCTTATACTGAGCCATACGCGATACGACCAACACAACTGCACCATTTATCAAATCATTCATTCATCAAGTCGTTCAAAAACAGAAACATAACTACATGACCTGTTAAGATCAAGTCATTCACTCATCAAGTCATTCACTCATCAAGTCATTCACTCATCAAGTCATTCACTCATTAAGTCATTCACTCATCAATTCATTCACTTATCAGGTCATACAGCATTTAACATTATTCAAGCTATGTTACTATGCAATCAATGAGTGACATAACACGTCACAAGCAGCAAGTCAAATGCAACACAAACATTGTGATTATATAGTCAAATCAGTCATTAATTTTCACATAAGTATGCAAATAACTGTACAACTTATCATTGAATGAGTAAGTCATTCACACATCAGGTCATTCTCACAATAAATATGTAAATCATTCATTCATAATGGGCCCATTGTTAAAACTTAATTTAAAATATTGATAATTATTTAATTGCATTTTTATTTAATATTGTTATAAGGAAAAATAAATTATGGTAAGGCTAAGGACTCACAGCGTGATTTCAGGCGGAATGGAGGCGGAATTTCAGAACCTTACGAGACCTCCATTTTCTGTCCCGCAATCGCTGTGGTTGCGATTATTCCCCATAAACTTGGCGATTGATAATGGCATGACGGGTGGGTGGTTAAACAATCAGTTGAGTTTCAGACCGGCCGTCCCATTGCGTTCGCCCGCCAACCGATCGCAAAGCGCGCGGGTGCTACGAAACCGCGCCCGCCGGTGCAATGGGAGTCGCAAACAATCGCAACCGCCGCGGGCGTAACACGCGCCGTGAAAATTACTTTGATTTTTTACATACATATGAAAGAAAAGAAATCAAATCAAATCAAATCGTTTATTTGCACCAGCTACCAGACCACCGAATAACATACAAAATAACATTGAAAAACTAAATAAGAAACAATAAGAACATGAAATAACATAAAAAACAGCAGTAAAAAATAAAACAACAATGAAGGCAAGAAAAAAAAATAAAAAAACAGGGTGGCAGCATGTCTGTATTCTATAAAGGCTGTGGGCACGCAACCGCGGGAGAAAATCGCGCCGAGAGTCCTTACCCTGAAGCTCAATCTAATTTATCGTAAAACTGTGTTACTAAGAGCAAAAATTCAAGAACATCTGAACTAATTCGACTAATTTGTTTGCAATATCTAAAAATACATGACCACACTTGTCAAGTCAGTATTACATTTAATTTAATGACTACATGATACAGAAATATGCACATTATAATTATAATATTTAGTTCATTCACTCTAAATCTACCCTCCTATCCTGCTAAATGCTAATAAAATCTACCTACAATATTTATAATTGCTTTATATAATCATAGTATATATATTTACTTTGTATCCGCTGGACCCGCTTGTGACAGACGAACTCGATCCCAGCGGATGGGTGCCGTTCTGAAAAGGTAAAAATAAAATAATATTTATAACACATATAACATCACGCCTTTAACCGAAGTAATACCCATTATTCACTATTTATTTTATGAGTCGCATGTAATAGGGGCCTACTTATTGTCATATACCGGGCACAATTCCAGATTCCGTGCTACTACTGAGAATAACCAGGAATACTTTGCCCGACCCGGATAAACCCGAGTCCCCTGTCTCGGCGCAGTCGCACTTGCGACCACTTGATCAATGAAGTAGTCAGTTAAAAATAAAATAAGTTTAATTTAACATTTTGAACGCCATTGCGCCATAGGGGGCAAATGTGGCTAACACCAGTGGTAGTTGGTCTCCAATAGCCTTTCTTTAACCAATTCTTCTGAATCAGTTCCAATTCTGTGAATGGAAATCTGAACACCCTAAACAGGCACCATCTGACACGTAGATTAGGTCTGACTGAGCGTTGTGTTGTACGGTCTCTTTTTGTGCCTATAAGCTTAATCCATTCTGTCTCCTGCAGTAATTCACTGAGAGAAGTGGAAACTATCGTTTTTTCTTCTCGTCTTATAATATCATCTGATTTATTTCGTTGCGGGAACCAAGACAGTTATTCATGTCTCTGGGCCGCGCCGGACTTCAGTGTTCCGGTGTTTTCATCGTTGTATCTACCGTAGACCATACCGTATCCAAAAAATTGCGAAGATCTGAACTTCGAGCATAGTTTTAGAGATACCCATGGGAAGCACCGATTGCCTACCATTAGCTGATACACTATCTAATAAGAATGTCAAGACTGTTACCTGATCGAGTTGGTCTATAGATGTATGACTGGTGGGACTCTTGACTGTATCAAACACTGAGGAGTCACTGTCGTGGTCGGACTGTTGGTGGGGCGTCTCCGGACTGTCCGGGATCTCACCTGCCGCTGTAATGGAAACGAAATCGGGTTTAAGTTATGGATTTACAATCCAATATAGGAGGAGACATTTCACCATAATCGTAATCATCATCACCCACCAGTAACACAATGTGTGACTGTTTACCGTGTGGGTGTATGTTCCTCCGCTGCGCGCGCGGCGAGGGCGGGTGCAGGGCGGAGCGCGGTACAATGTAGCACCATGTAGATGTATGTACCGTACCGTGTGGGTGTATGTTCCTCCGCTGGGCGCGCGGCGAGGGCGGGTGCAGGGCGGGGCGCGGTACAGTGTAGCACCATGTAGATGTATGTACCGTACCGTGTGGGTGTATGTTCCTCCGCTGCGCGCGCGGCGAGGGCGGGTGCAGGGCGGGGCGCGGTACAATGTAGCACCATGTAGATGTATGTACCGTACCGTGTGGGTGTATGTTCCTCCGCTGCGCGCGCGGCGAAGGCGGGTGCAGGGCGGGGCGCGGTACAATGTAGCACCATGTAGATGTATGTACCGTACCGTGTGGGTGTATGTTCCTCCGCTGCGCGCGCGGCGAGGGCGGGTGCAGGGCGGGGCGCGGTACAATGTAGCACCATGTAGATGTATGTACCGTACCGTGTGGGTGTATGTTCCTCCGCTGCGCGCGCGGCGAGGGCGGGTGCAGGGCGGGGCGCGGTACAATGTAGCACCATGTAGATGTATGTACCGTACCGTGTGGGTGTATGTTCCTCCGCTGCGCGCGCGGCGAGGGCGGGTGCAGGGCGGGGCGCGGTACAATGTAGCACCATGTAGATGTATGTACCGTACCGTGTGGGTGTATGTTCCTCCGCTGCGCGCGCGGCGAGGGCGGGTGCAGGGGGGGGCGCGGTACAATGTAGCACCATGTAGATGTATGTACCGTACCGTGTGGGTGTATGTTCCTCCGCTGCGCGCGCGGCGAGGGCGGGTGCAGGGCGGGGCGCGGTACAATGTAGCACATGTAGATGTATGTACCGTACCGTGTGGGTGTATGTTCCTCCGCTGCGCGCGCGGCGAAGGCGGGTGCAGGGCAGGGCGCGGTACAATGTAGCACCATGTAGATGTATGTACCGTACCGTGTGGGTGTATGTTCCTCCGCTGCGCGCGCGGCGAGGGCGGGTGCAGGGCGGGGCGCGGTACAATGTAGCACCATGTAGATGTATGTACCGTACCGTGTGGGTGTATGTTCCTGCTGCGCGCGCGGCGAGGGCGGGTGCAGGGCGGGGCGCGGTACAATGTAGCACCATGTAGATGTATGTACCGTACCGTGTGGGTGTATGTTCCTCCGGCGCGCGCGAGGGCGGGTGCAGGGCGGGGCGCGGTACAATGTAGCACCATGTAGATGTATGTACCGTACCGTGTGGGTGTATGTTCCTCCGCTGCGCGCGCGGGAGGGCGGGTGCAGGGCGGGGCGCGGTACAATGTAGCACCATGTAGATGTATGTACCGTACCGTGTGGGTGTATGTTCCTCCGCTGCGCGCGCGGCGAGGGCGGGTGCAGGGCGGGGCGCGGTACAATGTAGCACCATGTAATGTATGTACCGTACCGTGTGGGTGTATGTTCCTCCGCTGCGCGCGCGGCGAGGGCGGGTGCAGGGGGGGCGCGGTACAATGTAGCACCATGTAGATGTATGTACCGTACCGTGTGGGTGTATGTTCCTCCGCTGCGCGCGCGGCGAGGGCGGGTGCAGGGCGGGGCGCGGTACAATGTAGCACCATGTAGATGTATGTACCGTACGTGTGGGTGTATGTTCTCCGCTGCGCGCGCGGCGAGGGGGGTGCAGGCGGGGCGCGGTACAATGTAGCACCATGTAGATGTATGTACCGTACCGTGGGTGTATGTTCCTCCGCTGCGCGCGCGGCGAGGGCGGGTGCAGGGCGGGGCGCGGTACAATGTTGTACACCCATTAGATGTATGTACCGTACCGTGTGGGTGTATGTTCCTCCGCTGCGCGCGCGGCGAGGGCGGGTGCAGGGCGGGGCGCGGTACAATGTAGCACCATGTAGATGTATGTACCGTACCGTGTGGGTGTATGTTCCTCCGCTGCGCGCGCGGCGAGGGCGGGTGCAGGGCGGGGCGCGGTACAATGTAGCACCATGTAGATGTATGTACCGTACCGTGTGGGTGTGTTCCTCCGCTGCGCGCGCGGCGAGGGCGGGTGCAGGGCGGGGCGCGGTACAGTGTAGCACCATGTAGATGTATGTACCGTACCGTGTGGGTGTATGTTCCTCCGCTGCGCGCGCGGCGAGGGCGGGTGCAGGGCGGGGCGCGGTACAATGTAGCACCATGTAGATGTATGTACCGTACCGTGTGGGTGTATGTTCCTCCGCTGCGCGCGCGGCGAGGGCGGGTGCAGGGCGGGGCGCGGTACAATGTAGCACCATGTAGATGTATGTACCGTACCGTGTGGGTGTATGTTCCTCCGCTGCGCGCGCGGCGAGGGCGGGTGCAGGGCGGGGCGCGGTACAATGTAGCACCATGTAGATGTATGTACCGTACCGTGTGGGTGTATGTTCCTCCGCTGCGCGCGCGGGCGGGTTGGCAGGGGGGCGGGGCGCGGTACAATGTAGCACCATGTAGATGTATGTACCGTACCGTGTGGGTGTATGTTCCTCCGCTGCGCGCGCGGCGAGGGCGGGTGCAGGGCGGGGCGCGGTACAATGTAGCACCATGTAGATGTATGTACCGTACCGTGTGGGTGTATGTTCCTCCGCTGCGCGCGCGGCGAGGGCGGGTGCAGGGCGGGGCGCGGTACAATGTAGCACCATGTAGATGTATGTACCGTACCGTGTGGGTGTATTTCCTCCGCTGCGCGCGCGGCGAGGGCGGGTGCAGGGCGGGGCGCGGTACAATGTAGCACCATGTAGATGTATGTACCGTACCGTGTGGGTGTATGTTCCTCCGCTGCGCGCGCGGCGAGGGCGGGTGCAGGGCGGGGCGCGGTACAATGTAGCACCATGTAGATGTATGTACCGTACCGTGTGGGTGTATGTTCCTCCGCTGCGCGCGCGGCGAGGGCGGGTGCAGGGGGGGCGCGGTACAATGTAGCACCATGTAGATGTATGTACCGTACCGTGTGGGTGTATGTTCCTCCGCTGCGCGCGCGGCGAGGGCGGGTGCAGGGCGGGGCGCGGTACAATGTAGCACCATGTAGATGTATGTACCGTACCGTGTGGGTGTATGTTCCTCCGCTGCGCGCGCGGCGAGGGCGGGTGCAGGGCGGGGCGCGGTACAATGTAGCACCATGTAGATGTATGTACCGTACCGTGTGGGTGTATGTTCCTCCGCTGCGCGCGCGGCGAGGGCGGGTGCAGGGCGGGGCGCGGTACAATGTAGCACCATGTAGATGTATGTACCGTACCGTGTGGGTGTATGTTCCTCCGCTGCGCGCGCGGCGAGGGCGGGTGCAGGGCGGGGCGCGGTACAATGTAGCACCATGTAGATGTATGTACCGTACCGTGTGGGTGTATGTTCCTCCGCTGCGCGCGCGGCGAGGGCGGGTGCAGGGCGGGCGCGGTACAATGTAGCACCATGTAGATGTATGTACCGTACCGTGTGGGTGTATGTTCCTCCGCTGCGCGCGCGGCGAGGGCGGGTGCAGGGCGGGGCGCGGTACAATGTAGCACCATGTAGATGTATGTACCGTACCGTGTGGGTGTATGTTCCTCCGCTGCGCGCGCGGCGAGGGCGGGTGCAGGCGGGGCGCGGTACAATGTAGCACCATGTAGATGTATGTACCGTACCGTGTGGGTGTATGTTCCTCCGCTGCGCGCGCGGCGAGGGCGGGTGCAGGGCGGGGCGCGGTACAATGTAGCACCATGTAGATGTATGTACCGTACCGTGTGGGTGTATGTTCCTCCGCCGCGCGCGGCGAGGGCGGGTGCAGGGCGGGGCGCGGTACAATGTAGCACCATGTAGATGTATGTACCGTACCGTGTGGGTGTATGTTCCTCCGCTGCGCGCGCGGCGAGGGCGGGTGCAGGGCGGGGCGCGGTACAATGTAGCACCATGTAGATGTATGTACCGTACCGTGTGGGTGTATGTTCCTCCGCTGCGCGCGCGGCGAGGGCGGGTGCAGGGCGGGGCGCGGTACAATGTAGCACCATGTAGATGTATGTACCGTACCGTGTGGGTGTATGTTCCTCCGCTGCGCGCGCGGCGAGGGCGGGTGCAGGGCGGGGCGCGGTACAATGTAGCACCATGTAGATGTATGTACCGTACCGTGTGGGTGTATGTTCCTCCGCTGCGCGCGCGGCGAGGGCGGGTGCAGGGCGGGGCGCGGTACAATGTAGCACCATGTAGATGTATGTACCGTACCGTGTGGGTGTATGTTCCTCCGCTGGGCGCGCGGCGAGGGCGGGTGCAGTGCGGCGGCGCGGCCGGCGCCGGGCGCGCGACACACGGCCGCCTGCACCACCTCGCACACTCGTCGGAAGCGCCGGATGTTGCCTGCACGACAATGCACTATGTTATTGCTAAACAAATATTACGTACACAAGCTCAAACACCAGGTATCTACTATTAATCGTTTAGGAGTTCTTTTAGCTATCATACTACTTCATCATTAGACCCCTAATGACAATTACACCCCATTTAGGAGTAAAGTTTTCCTCAATACAAATAATTGAAGCCCAAACACTGGGTTATTGCTACTAATCCTCGAGGTGTTCCCTCAGCCGTCTCTTGATACGTCATCAGATGAACTCCACATCTTCAAATTGTGGTAATTTTAAATACTATAAAACAATAAACTCTATCGGCGCCCCTACGTTTTGAAAAGTTCCCCTCGATTTCGATGAAACCCCCTTATCAGATCCTGAACTGAAAAAATGGACCTGACCCCGAGAGTATGATCTTTCCAATAAAAGAGAATCATCAAAATCTTTCCACAAACGCAGGAGTAAACGCAAAATGTACACAAAAAAAATATAACCTCCACTTGGGAAATAATCGGTTAGCGTTTGACGCGTTGACAGCCGAAATTAATCTTGATTTGGACTGAATCTGGAATTATGGAAAAATGGTGGCCAAAACCAGTTTTTCTACAATATCTCTTTTCCTGTGCGTTTTACGAGAAAACCGTTGACCACAAAATTAAACTACTTACAATTTTGGACAATTTTTTTGTTTTGACAGCTTTTTTGTACTGTAATTAGTTTTAGCGCCAAAACAAAAAAATAATTTTTATAAAAATATTGTAAAAAACTGTTTTTGGCCGCCATTTTTCCAAGATGGCAGCGTGAGCGGCGCACGTAGAAAGGTGCAAAATGGAAATCGAAAAGAGCACATCAAAGTCTATAAAAATCGCTGATTTTCAAAACTCCCGGAAAATATTCCAGGTAAAACTACCAAATTACTAAGCTATCTAAATAAAACAAGTAAAGCATTTTATTATTATTATTACTTATTAGCAAGAAAACAGGCTTTTATTTTTTTATTTTATCGAACGCTCTATAACTTTAACAAAAATATTCATTTTACCACAATATACTTTCAATTTAAATATATGCTTATCGAACCAATAAAACTATGTAACTAGACAATTGTATTGTAAACCTGATTGAAAAAGAGTAACCTATAGTGTTTCTTGCTCGTTCTTCTCCATAGGAATCTACACCTTGAAATGAGCAAATAGCTTCACTTTTAATTTTTTTTTTTTTTGTTGACTTTGAAAAGTGCTGTCCATGATTAAGACTTCGAAAAAAGGTAACTAAATTGCCATTTATACGACATACGTTACCAATTAAACTGTCAAACACCAAGCGGTCACCGGTGACCGCGAGTAATAAAATACATGTATCAGAAAATATTTATTAAGAAAAAAACGCAAAAGGTAACAAATAGAAATGACTTATAGTAGAAGATGTTAAAGAGAACAGTTCCCCACTTATGCCTTTGCGTCTAGACAGGTCGCCGGTCGCTACAGCAAAATCAGTTTACTATTACTTCTTACTTCAACAGCTTAGAGTATTTTTGGTTAAATACTCTTAAGTTCAACAGCCTATAAGCATAGCTGGGCATTAACTCGTTAATTCCTTAATCGTTAATTAACGAAGTTAACATTTTGATTAACTGATTAACTTTTAAGTTAACTTTTAAAAATGTTAACGTTAACTTCCGTTAAAATGCAGTAGTCCGTTAATCGTTAATCCAATGCCTACTATTTACCGCACGGCATCGCGGCGCGAAGGGAAGAACAGGATCAGACAAGAATGAAATGACAAGTGCCGTGCACCGCGTGGCAGCGCGTGAAACAAAAACAAAACTAGATATATTTGGCCGGCGCGTGCGAGTGAGAAAACTGTGAAGAATTTTTTTTTACTCTTTAAGTTCACTAACGCAACGATATAAAAATGTAATTTTACACATATTAACGGATTAACGATTAACGTTAACTGTTAATTCTTCGGAAATGTAACGCTTTAATTAACGTTTAACGAAACGAACTTTTTTTTTTTTAATTTGCCCCACACTAGGATTTTCTCCTGTGTCGTGGGTGCGTTTACAAACATACAAATTCACATACACATGACACCCAGACCCGAAACAACAATTTGTGGATCACACAAAGTGTTGTTTCGTGCGGGAATCGAACACGCGACACGTTGCACGTCAGCCTGTTGCCCAGCCACCGCACCAACCGTGTCACCTTCTTTGTAGCGGATTAACGTTAACTATTTGATTACCGATGCCCAGTTATGCCTATAAGTGGCCACGGCTGACCAAAGTCAATATCCCCGAGATCTCGTAGTTAGCACACACTTTTAATGCTAGCAAAAAGTTTATATAACCTACTAGCGGACCCAACAGACGTCCTGCATATCCACTTGAATGTATAAACAAAAATTCATTCAAATTAGTTCAGCTGTTTAGGATAAATAACCTAAACAACGACTGCAGCGCCATCTGCCGGGCTGATTTGTGAATCTAAACCATTCCCAGATCCCCTTGAACACACACAAAAAAATTCATCAAAATCGGTCCAGTCGTTTGAGAGAACAGACTCACAGAAGAATTATATATATAAAGATAGGTACTTAGGTTAAAAAAAGTTGTAGAAAAACATGATATTGTAGTGACTGCCAAGTCGTTAAAAGTTTTAATTTTGCATCTGACATTATGTATAATTAAAAAGTTTGTGTTCATAAACTACTTTCAAGTAATGTACCCTGCATTTTATTTAGGTTTTGGTCTTAGGACATTTATGATTAAGTTTTGTAGTAAAAATAAATTAATTCACTCACTAACCTGATAATAACGTAAACGTGATTGCGTACAAATACTCCTTGCCATTCTCTCCGGGCGCCTTCGTTATTGTAGAAATGTCAACCTGGAAACAGTGAGACAACTCCTTGAATCAACCATCAAATAGGGATGACGACAGGGTATGAAAATTAAAAATCTAATTAGTCCGTCAGTTACGTAATGAAAAAATATTAGACACGTATTTTTTTATTTTGTCGTATCATCAAACAATACTTAGATAAAACGAATCAAAGTTTAGGAGTGGGGGCTAAAACATAATTTCTACGTATATAATGTACATAGAAGTGACGTCACGCGACATTTCAAATCAATATATCGTCGAAATTATTTGTTTCTGTAAGAAAATAAAAAATACGGGTCTAATGATTTAAAATAATCTACCAGACGGACATTAAAATAAAAATTAGGCATCCATAGTCCATCTGTTTAGGTAATTAACTAAAGGTAAACAAAAAACAACACAGAATCCGTCACTCAAAAATCAGAGCGAAATCCAAAGCAATTGACGCAGTTTCATATGCACTTAGACTAAAGTGGAAATGGGCAGGTCATGTAGCAAGGTTACAAGACAATAGATGGACAAAAATAATTACAACATGGAAAGGACCAATAGGAAAAAGGAAAAGAGGAAGACCGCACACACGATGGGACGACGAAATCCTACGTGTGGCTGGAGTACGCTGGCTAGATACAGCAAAAGATCGAGAAAGATGGCAGTCTCTGGAGGAGGCCTTCACCTCAGGGGTTCCCTAAAATGAAACATGATATATAATGATATACTTTCTATTTTTATTTTTTGGAAATGTATATTTTCTTTTTAATTGGGAAATACAAGGCTTTTTTATTTTTATTTTATTATTTATTTTATAAACAAAGAAAACCATGTGACACAGAGATACTTAACCTACTATTACTTCAAATATTTCTCGTGTTTTAATTTTAACTAAATTCACTTTAAAATCGTTCATTTGTCATACACACACATACAAGTACAAATGCCTAAATCGTACAAGAGCCTAGCCTATGGGTCTATTTCATTATCATGTTTTAAATAGAAACTATTCTGAATCTGATGTACGGATTTCTTTCTTGTACGGATATCTGTCTTTGGGCCAAGTTTCTTCAATATATTTGAACACATTAATTACAAACGATGAATAACCTAAACTTAAATAACTTAATAACAAAAACAAAACAAAGAAACAAGTTAAATTCAACAAAATAGGAACGCGAGCGCAAACGACGAGAGAGCTGTCAATGGCGCCTGATTAACCGACTAAACGTAATACACGCTACTTTCATTGTCGCGCTACATCTTCGTTGTACTCTTTAATTTGACAACATTATTTTGCTTCGTTCTTAAAGAAACGTTTTGGATACCTGGGATTTTAGGCTCTTTATGGTGTCTATTGTAATGAAATATTATATTATTTAATAAATGTTATTAAATTAATATCCTCAAGCAGATATATTTAATATTTATTAAGAAATAAGTAAAAAGGAACAGAAACATAACATTTAATAGAGAAAACTGTCGTAAAAAGGGAAACAATTTTATTTTCTTATGAAGTATTTTGAATCATGGAAATGTCAACTATAAAGAACTCTTTTTATGGTTTGTTTACAAATAGTTAACTACCTAAACAGACGGAGTATACACTATTATACTATGTGGAGAGACGAAATTTTTCTGTAGACAAATAATGTTAAATGAATATAGGTATTTGTCCACTGAAATAAGTAACATTTGAAGAGTTATTAATTTAAAATAAAATAAGAAATGATATTTTTAAAGTTAAACAAGAATTGAGTGAGTAGGAGAAACCTACTTACCTACTGCGACTACTAAAGAATCCTTACTTCCTTACAATATAATATTATAAATCGGAAAGTGATGAGTTTGTTTGTTTGTTTGTTCCGCTTTCACGCCGTAACTACTGCACCGATTGCTTTGATTTTTTGCAGACGTAAAGTTAGAAGTCCGGATTAAATAATAGGGTACTTTTTATCCCAGAAAGATTTGATATTCCCGAGGGAAAAAAAGTATTGGTACAGATGGCGCTATGAGTATTGGTATATTTCACATAGGCTACTTTTATCCTTTTGTGACGCGAGCGAAGCCGCGGGTAAAATATCTTTATCTTTATTGCTGAACACAGTACATTTAGATGCATTTCAAGATGTTAGATGAATGCGCAGTTCATCGTGTTCCACCAATCAAGGCATGCAACTATTATTCATAAAAGCTAGTAATGAATAATTTTCCTCCCACCTGAAACCGGACATGTCTCTGAAACATGGCGGGCGCGTTGGATCCTCTTTTGTACTCCACCCGAAACGACATCGGACTTAGCACGCTATGCGATAATTCTGCTATCTGGAATTTAAGAAAAACGGATAAATGACAATGACCAAATTTGTATGGAGCGTGGTGCCTTTTCATTTTTTCGCGGCAGTTGATCGGATGTGGAAAAATAGATGCAGAATAACATTACAAATAAAAAAATGTATGGGGTCTTATATCAAAAACACAGTCCGAACCGAGTTAAATCAGTTCAAAGATGTGAAAATAGTGCTATATAATTCCTTTGATTTTGTTGATGGTGACCGTACACATCGCATATTTCTTCATTTACTTGTCAGAAATATTTTGTAATAAATGTTTATAGACGATTTTAAGGAATATAATAAAGCTTATTATGGACTTTTATAATTATTTTATTTGTTTATTTCTTTTTTTTTTTTGTTATAAGGCCACGGATTCAGAACAGAGTGATCCATTAACTGACCATTGCTGCAGAAAAAAAACATTTCGTTTGATTGACTAGCATGTTCAATTTATATGTATACGGTTTATGGCCTATGACAGATTTTCATGATCAATTTCCTCTCAGTCAAAAACCCGCAAAATACTTTACTGAGCCCTATCATGAAATGCTATGTTTGTCAGCTGCGGCGTCGGTAGCGGATTGAGTAGTAACAGTCATCAAAACACGAAAAAATCATTTTTATGTCTACTTCTCCTGACTTACTTCCGATTAGTAACTAATCTAACTACAGTTAATACTTTAATCTACATCTAGCATAAGATTCTGTACAAAGACATCGTCATTCAGTCACAAAGTGATGCATTTCAAATGATCACATTATATGAAAAAAATATGCGCTCATCTGACGTATAGTCCATCACTTTAAAAGTTGACGGTTTGCTTTTTTCAAAAAATTATGCTAACTATAAAGTAGATGAGTCTCCCACCAGGAGTCAACGGCAAAAAAATACTTTATTAGATGTTTGGACGGCTACTACTACTCAACCCACCAACGGTACCACAGCTGACACTCATGAAGCTTCATGACACAACTCCTAGAAGCATCCCACAAGTTATCGACTGAGAGAAAATAGCTAATAAAAATTATCGACTGGCAATATGGATATATTGTGGTGTGATTTGGTGTTTCTGTGCCCGGCGTACAGTGGCGCGCAATTTGAAGTTAGGAATTGTGACAAAATATGAATAATTTGAATAAAACAACAAAAGTAAAATGTTTGACTCCAGCTCCTTTCAACGCTCATAACTCAGTCCAGACTGAGATTTCCATATATGAGCCCATAGACAATTTCGTTTGTAATGACATTCTAGATAATATTTTCCATAAATCATCGACTGCCGCCAGAAAAAAGAAAGGCACCAATTTTAGTCAATGCCCTTTAACAACATAACATAACATCACGCCTTTTATCCCCGAAGGAGTAGGCAGAGGTGCACATTATGCTCCTGTACAATGTAACACCCACTTTTCACTATTTATGTTATGAGTCCCATGTAATAGGGGGTGAGTCTATTGCCATATACCGGGCACAATTCCAGACTCCGTGCTACTACTGAGAATTTTTTTAAAAACCCAGTAATACTTTGCCCGACCCGGGAATCGAACCCGAGACCCCTTGCCGTTGGCAGTCGCACTTGCGACCACTCGGCCAACGAGGCAGATTATTAACGACATAAGATAAATTGCGACGAAGTTATAAATTGACATTTGCGTTAAACCTTTTAGTGAAATTGGTAAAAGATTCAACAGAACTAAAAAAACAACAACAATTCGGTACTTGCCAACTAGTTAGACAAATTCAATACTTTTTTCGAACTGTCAAAAATGAAAGTTTTCTATGAATTTTGTACGAGATTGTGTATTGTGACGTCACGTTTTTTTAGCGTCAAACAGCATACTTATTTCTTAAAAATTTGCTAGAAAAATACTAAAATTAAGTTGATCATAAAATCAATTAATGAAAGTGTGATTTTTTTAAATATTTTATTGTATTCAACAGTCGAAATAATTTATTTTTGATTAAGGAAAGTACCCGATTACAATTCAGCCCTCTTTTCATAAGTTAGAGTTCAGTTTGTCAAATAGGGAGTGATACGATTGCCGTACATGGACACAACTCCAGACTGCTCCAATAATACTGTACTTATTGTAAAATCGAACTTGAGATCTCTTGTTCAGCAGTTGTTTGCGATCACTGTACCTTAAACACACACGTCACATCAACAGCCTATAGTTAAGTGCCCACTGCTGAGCAAAGCCTCTTCTCACACGGAGAAGGTTTGAGCATTAACCATCATTATCTCAATGCCGGTTAGCGATTTCAAACTCATAATTAAAAATTATAAGCCGAGGTTCCCTCACGATGTTTTCCGTCACCGTTTGTCAGTGGTGTCTAGATAATCTTAGAAAGTACATATAAATCGGAAACAGTCACATTAGTACTTGCCGTTGGTACATTTCGACTCCGCACCCTCATGAATGAAAAACGGGCGTCTTAAACCTCCGGGCCACCATGACACTGTAGCCACTTATGAGTACCGTCATTATAGACACAATTAAAGAACAATAGGTTGCGGTCACCGGTGTCCTCGCGGTGTTTGACAGTTTAAACGTAACATGTAAGTTTAAATAAATATAAATAGTACTTACACTTAAAAACGCATGTATTAAATCTGCTTTGACAGTAGCTAGAGGCTTGCCCTTCACTAACGCTGTGAAGGTTTCTTCTTTGTCAGCTGACAACAGCAGGGACCCGAACCATGACCGCTTCGTCAGTTCCGGTGACGATTCAGGAGTTAAATGCACCTCTTCTGAGGACGCTGTAGAAAGGAGAACGGTTTTCAGATTACATTTAAATAAAATATATTGTTCTTTACCCTCCGGGGGTTTAACAAAGCCAGTCCAGGGCTTACTCTTGAAACCAATCTCAATGTCAATGCAATTTCAATCCAATAGAATCTCAATAATTATTCAATGTCAACATTATACAACCACAATCGTAGCTGTTGAAATAGCATTCAGAATATGGAATATAAAGCCAAACTCAATATCATTTAGTTCATTCAATATCCACGCAATACGGATGCAATGACGCTAGTGTTGCAACACAAGAGTAGGAAATTTCACAATACCAATAGTAAGCCCCCTGTTCTAATCCGTAGCACCAGATGATGTTCTGTCCAACACTCCATAATTATAATTGTTTTCAAAAATGAAGTGCTAAAGAGTGGAATTCTTTGCCAGAGTCTGTATTTCCTGAAGGGTATAACCTGGGAGTCTTCAAGGCCCGAGTGAATAGGTTGCTTATGGGACGACGTGCTCCATCGTAGGCCGCATCATCGCTTACCACCAGGTGAGATAGTGGTCAAACGTCGGCCCATCAAATATAAAAAAAAATGAATGTTTAACAATATGTTGTCCAAACCCTGAATCAAGATATAGACGTCTTGCTCGGGCAAAGGATAGTTTCGATATTCAGTACTATGATAGTACCGACATGCATATTACAGCATGCCATGCTACACTATTACAGATTTGATTATGTCATTCATAAATTCAAAATTAATATATTTTTTTTAAAACGTTACCCCACACTAGGATTTTCTCCTGGGTGCGTTTACAAACATACAAGTTCACATACACATGACACCCAGACCCGGAACAACTATCTATGGATCACACAACGAGTTGTTTCGTGCGGGAATCGAACCCGCGACACGTTGCGCAGCAGTCAGTTGCCCAACCACCGCGCCAATCATGCAGTCATTTTTCCGCCTGAGAACTGAAGAATGTAATTACACTCGACCATCAGTATCATCTGTCTACAACTTCTCTTGCTCTCTCTCATTTACTCCTTATGTCTCAATTGATCACAACTTACTCTGCATTTTCCTCCGATGGAAGCGCGGCGAGCCGAGGAAGGAGTTCTTGATGGTAGCGAGTCGCACCCGCCAGGGGGCGGCGGCCGCGCCCGCGCCCCCGCACGCCCCCACGCCGCACACCGCCGAGCTGCCGCCCGGGGGGACACCTGCGGGGGACGCTCCACTTACTGCTCTATGGACTTGGTTTTATATAGGATATAAGCTGGGAAACCAACTAGGGATCACCTGATGGTAAGCAATCGGCGTCGCCCATGGAACACACGCAACACCAGAAGTGTTACCGGCCTTTTGGAATTAGGAATTTGACGATTGTTGGGGATTCAGAGATTGGGGGTGGGGGGTAATTGGGCCTCCGGTAACCTCACTCACACGACGAAACACAACGCAAGTGTTATTTCACGTCGGTCTTCTATGAGGCCGTGGTATCACTCCGGTCGAGCCGGCCCATTCGTGCCGAAGCATGACTTTCCGATACTTCATTGGCAATTTTAGAAGTGCTATTTATTTATACTGTTCATAAAATACTTATAATAAACTCACAGTTGCAAAGTTCGATATTTTTTTAATAAAATAATGTCGAAAGGTCTAATGTGTAAATAGTAATAACGTATTTAAAAAAGAAACGAAAACCATTAGTAACTACTATTATTTTAATTTTGCAGTAATCTATTTATACATATAATAAAATCGTAGGAAAGTGAAAACAGTACATCGAATATTTTTTGAAACATAAAAAAAAAATATTTTTTAAAAGAATGCCTTGGGCGTGATCTGCAGTCGATACCGAAACCATAAATATGGTTTTTAGAATTTTTGTCTGTTTGTCTGTATGTATGTCCGGGATGAACTCAAAAAGTACTGCATGGATTTACTTCAAATTTTGCATGAATATTACTAACAGGTTGGGTCAATATATAGGCTACATATTATCATGCTATCAACTACGGGGGAGGAGCTGTGAATCACTATTCCACGTGGACGAAGTCGCGGGCTCAGCTAGTTATTACATATTGATAGCATGATATGTAGCCATATAGGCTAGGTTGATCCGACCTGTTAGTAATATTCATACAAAATTTGAAGTAAATCCATGCAATACCTTTTGAGATCATCCCGGACATACATACAGACAAACAGACAAAAATTCCTACCTATCGACCGTAGATCATGCCCCATGCATTCTTTTTAAAAAATATCCGTTGTACAGTTTTCACTTTCCTACGATTTTATTATATACTATCTACTATTTTTTATTAGATACTATCACTTACTTGTAATAGTACCTAAGTTGGGGAAGAGAGAGGGTTGCGCCGGCGATTGTGTAGTGCTTGGGGGACCCGGCAGAGATGATCTTTCTCGCACTGGAAAATATATAAAATAATACACCTTATTTTCAATGTTATGTGGCTAAAAACGAATATAAATAAGTACCTACTTAAGATATTTTTTATAAAATCTCAGACTTAAAATAAATAAACAATGATCATATTCAAATAGATTTGTTTGTTTAGTAATAGGTATAGTAGTAAGTATAGTTAGTGTATAGGTACTTATGAATATCTATCGCTATTCCCACCGTCAAACTGTCATAGCAGTTTGGTGGGTATATTTATTATATTATTATTATTTTGTATCAAACTAACAAAGGATTAAATGATAAAAAAAATAGATTCGAAAAATAATATATGTATTAAAGAATTTTAAATATTAGACTTGGCTATCCTCTACCGTGCACCCACCTCTATGTGTCTGCGAGGGACTGTGCGGCCGGACCGCGACGGACGAGCCCATTACTGGTGACTCGTTTATTATAATCACCGCCTCGCCCGGCTCACCACCTATGGTGATAGGATATTTTTATAATTCACTGCTAAAACATTAGTTTTAACATTGAAAATAATGACAAAAATGAAGCGACCGACGACTAATTTTTATTTTAATGTCCGTCTGGTAGATTATTTAAAAACATTACACACGTATTTTTATTTTCTTTCGAAGATTTTTAGCCATCAATTTTTCATTACTTTATATGTTTTGATCTTCAAATAATTTAACTTCTTTTATTTTATTTTTTGTTTTTTAAAAAACGTTGCCCCACATTAGGATTTTCTCCTGTGTCGTGGGTGCGTTTACAAACATACAATATCACATACACAATGACACCCAGACCCGAAACAACAATTTGTGGATCACACCAAGTGTCGTTCCGTGCGGGAATCGAACTCGCGACACGTTGCACGGCAGCCGGTTGTCCAGCCACCGCACCAACCATGCAGTCTTAGTATATTGATTTAAAATATCGCATGACGTCACTTTTGAGTACGATTTATACCCTAAAATGACGTAGCTACCTCCCACTCCTAAACTTTGATTTGTTTTACCAAATAGGCCTTCACCTCAGGGGTTCCCTAAACTTAGGTAAACTTAATATAAAATAATATGTTTTTCGGAAATTTACATTTCTTTTTAAATTGGGAAATATAAGGCTTCTAAATTTTATTTTATTATCTAAGTATTATTTTCTTATACGACAAAATAACAAAATACTTGTCTAATATTTTTTTATTATCTAACCGACGGACTAATTAGATTTTTAATTTTCATACCCTGTCATTATCCCTATTTTAATGGATTATCTACTCTTTTACAACGTTTTAAAGTTGATTTCAGACTGATTTTAATTAATAGATAGGTAGTATGGCATTAAATAATGCATTTGCATTCAAAAGTTAACTTTAAATTAGAGTGATAAAGTTCGTTTTGATATGATACTTACTTATATTTAGACTAATAGTAGGTCCAGTCGAATTCGCTCGTTGGTGATGATGCTCTCGAATTGAAGGGGAAGCTGGAACAATTACGATATTATGAAGGATTTGAACTACTTATTCATTTAATAACTACTTGATAAAACACATTGCTATTAATATTATAAAATCCAGCCAAAATAAAACAGTATGTAACTATTTTAGAGAGTTTTAAAGACACACAATATAAAACAGAAGAAAGTTTAGACTTAATGCAATATCACGCCTTTTATCCCCGAAGGTGTAGGCAGAGGTGCACGTTATAGCACTTAATGCCACTGTACAATGTAACACCTACTTTTCACTATTTATGTTATGAGTCCCATGTAATAGGGGGTGAGCCTATTGCCATATACCGGGCACATTTCCGGACTCCGTGCTACTACTGATATATTTTTTTAAAACCAGTAATACTTTGCCCGACCCGGGAATCAAACCCGAGACCCCTTACCCGGCAGTCGCACATGCGACCACTCGGCCAACGAGGCAGTCAAACAACGGAACAGAGGCAACGAAACAAGAAAGACCAAAGTTATTTGTCCAAAGTCACATGTAACATTATAGCAGGTCGTGGTGGTAAGTGTGAGAGAGCCATGCTTCGGCACGAATGGGCCGGCTCGACCGGAGTGATACCACGGCCGAGCAAAAACCTGACGTGAAGTAACGCTTGCGTTGTGTTTCGTCTTGTGAGTGAGGTTACCGGAGGCCCAATTACCCTCCTCCCCAGTCTCCCCAAACCCCGAATCCCCCCCCCAACCCTCAAATTCCTAATTCCCAAAAGGCCGGTAACGCACTTGTAACGCCTCTAGCGGAGAGCATAACCGGTAACCGGGGCTCCGGCTCGACGTGCAGGAGAAGGAACGGGGTGGTATTTAGTCAGTAAGAGTCTGACACTCCCTTCCGCCTCACCCAGGCGGGAGAAGTAATTGTATGATTTTCTCCCCTCAAGATCGTATTGGAAAGGTAGAAATAGATGAAAGAAGTAAGTTTAGTAGTTACATTTACCCAATGGTGATCCAGGAGTTGCAGGTGTACCGCCCAGCGATGACACTCGGTGCGGCGTGTGACCGGCTGGAGACAACACGGAATTATTTATAAATCAAGTTCATCTTAAATAGGTTTTTGTTTAAGGGAAATTTGTTTTTATGTCCAATAATTTAAATTTAACCTTTAGTTTATTATTGTAAATCGATTTGTTGTAATATGATGTGTAAACAGTCGTTGGCTGACCCTAAATAGATAAATAAATAAAAATAAATAAATAAATGTTGTAGGTATTAAACTTAGCTTGAGTATACCGAGTTTTGAGTGAGTAACGCGAAAAATAAATTTCTATTCGATTTTTTTATTTTTTATTTGAGAACTGTTATAATATAAAGTCTTAAGTAGAGTAGACTATTGCCGGAATACTGAAACGCTACTCAATTTTAAGTCGTGCTTAAGTATAGTTCTATCTCTACAAATTCTTTGTAAAATGACAGAGATGGCACGATATTTAAGTACTACTTAAAATTGAGTAACGTTTCGGTTTGATAAATCAGTTTATTTTAATTTTGAATTTTAAAATTAGTTAGAACTTTTTCTAAGTTTTTCTCAAAGTAAACGTTCGTTTTTCTGTTATTTGAGACCCTCTTTAGAAAAATAACATAACATCACGCCTTTTATCCCCGAAGGGGTAGGCAGAGGTGCACATTCACTTGTGCAATTTACACCCACGGCACTGTACAATGTAACACTCACTTTTCACTATTTTCGTTATGAGTAACATGTAATAGAGGGTGAGCCTATTGCCATATACCGGGCACAATTCCAGACTCAGTGCTACTACTGAGGATTTAAAAAAAACCCAGTATTACTTTGCCCGACACGGGAATCGAACCCGAGACCTTTTGCCCGGCAGTTGCACTTGCGACCACTCGGACAAGGAACAAGTCAAAGTAATATATATAGAAAATTATCTTACTTTATTGAAATTGTATTTCACCATCAATAATACTCAGACTTAGAATAAATAATATAGAACAATAATAATATCAAACAACACTTACTAGGCGGACTGGCAGGCAACTGCGGTGAACTGCGTCCCTCCCCCCTCCGGCCCGAGGCAGACCTACTGCGACCAAACCTGGACTCAAACCTCAGACATTACACACACACTACCTAGTCACTACTGGATGCAATAGCGTGAAGATAGAAAATGGGAAAGAAAAATTGATATCAACATGATTAGATATTTTACAAAGGTGTAAAAATATAGAGAAGAAATGGCACGATGCTTGTTTTAACTACTGAAAAAATTGATATGACGAAAACGGTAATAACCTTAATAGAATGTTAGATCATCAGAGATCAGAGAATCTATAGTGAAAACAATATGCTTGAAATAAAGCGAAGTTGGGACGGGACGTGGTGGCCCGGAGGTTTAAGACGCCCGCTTCTCATGATGCGGGTTCGAAACCTACCAACGGCAAGTACCAATGTGACTTTTTCCGAGTTATATGTACTTTCTAAGATTATTTAGACACCACCGACAAACGGTGAAGGAAAAACATCGTGAGGAAACCTGGACTTATAATTTCTAATTATAAGTTCGAAATCGCCAACCCGCATTGAGCAAGCGTAGTGATTAATGCTCAAACCTTCTCCGTGTGAGAAGAGGCTTTGCTCAGCAATGGGCATTTATAGGCTGTTGATGATGAGTTCGAAGTTAGCTTTAGAAGCCATAAAAAACTAGGTTATTATCTAGCTAGTAGATACGACAATGTTTTTATTAATAACTATCATGAGACATACTAAATAAACTAAAAATCGCGGGTTACTCACGTGAATATACTGAAAAAAGCTCTACTAGTTTCGAACCACGCACTGACATCACCGCGACCGCGCACGCTGCTCATGAGGAAGAACTCCTCTGTGGCTCGAAACTAGTAGAGCTTTTCTCAGTATATTCACGTGAGTAACCCGCGATTTTTAGTTAATTTATGTATGATAATTATGACATAACATCATGTCTTGGCAGACCCAATTAATGAGTAATTGATTGAAACTAACATAAATTGTGTGGATATAATAACAAAACTGATTCGTATAAAATTGTAGTGTAGGTACTAGATTTGAAAATATTATTTTTATATTTAAAGAGTATAATGGTATAAAAAGCAGTAAATACATACAATGATTATGAAAAATGGTTTATAAAAACGAGTAAAAGATTCAAACTTGGCGGGTCTCTACCATGCACCCAAAATGTATGGATTTGAAACAAATACGTTTGTCTTTCTAGTTATCTGCTTACCACCTGAAGGAATAGCGTGTAGATATTTATTAAGACTTCGTACCTATATTGTGATCTTCTAGGCGTTATTGGAGAACCTTCGCTAATCTGACCGAAGTGTGCTGATTGCCCATTTACCTGGAATTAAAGTGTGTAACAAAAACCATTAGTATATCATATAAAAAGAAAAAAATATATAATAAAATTAAAATAAATTAATAAAAAAAAACAATATAAAATAAGTATAGGTTTTCGCCTAGTGTGAGCCGATCCTACAAATGAACCGCACGGAGGGCCGCATCAATGCAGCGCACGGCGGTAGGCCGTAAGATATTTGTCATTAAATATTTTAACGAATACCTCCATATATATTTATTTGCTTACTTTGTCGTTATAAATTGTTATGTTAATGTAAAATCCTAAAATTGTGACCGCTATTACAACCTCTTGTTGCTCCTGGACAAATCAAAAAATGTAAAATTAGTTTAAGTATTTATTTCTGTACAAGTGATTTGTAATCTTTTAGAAATAAATGAATTCAAACCGTAAACCGTATGTATTATATAAAATATCGTAAGTATAACTTCTCAGCTGGAGGCCTTGATTCCCGGCCAGGCTGAATATTATTAGGGGCATTTTCGGTGTTTTTAAAAATTCTTAAAAAATAGAAGAGTCTGAAATTGTACCTAGGTACCAAGGCCATCAGTCGCCATCAGTCACATCAGTCATACAACTACTGACAAATGATTTAAGTTTTGAAATATCAGAATTTTCAGTGATATGAAAATAGCGGCTCACCGTTGTACCTCTATATCGCGATAATAAATAAGATTAAGTGTGGGAGAGCCATGCTTCGGCACGAATGGACAGTCTCGACCGGAGTGATACCACGGCCGAGCAGAAAACCGACGTGAAGCAACGCTTGCGTTGTGTTTCGTAGTGTGAGTGAGGTTACCGGTTACCGGAGGCCCAATTACCCTCCCCTTCCCCAATCTCCCCAATCCCTAAATCCCCAACGACCCTCAAACTCCTAATCCCCAAAAGGCCGGTAACGCACTTGTAACGCCTCTGGTGTTCCAGGTGTCCATAGCGACGCCGATTGCTTACCATCAGGTGATCCGTCTGCTCGTTTACCGGCTTATGCCATAAAAAACCCAGATCACCAATAGAACTAACGAAAAGTGTTTTTTTTTCTACTTATTTCCTGAATCATTAATTTTCGGGGAGAATACAGGTACCGAGCCCATGAAATTATCCCGCACTAAAAGTTAATGCCCACAGTGCCTCGCAGCGCAAAAGGCTGGAGCTCAGCTTAATACTATGACCCGGGCACGAAGGCTCGAATTCACGGCGCTGATTTTTCAGCACCAACCCGTAATAGTACGTACTAATTATACACCTAAGGTAACACACAGCATGATATAAATAATAAAATTAATGTAAAAATGAAAACAAAATAGCAATTTACCCGGCAAGTATCGAGTCTTTTCCTGGGCGGGTCGGGCGGTAGCGCGGGCGCGGCGGGCCGCGGCTCGTCGTCCCGCGCCGGCCGCCGCCTCTTGCGCTCCAGTAGTAGGAAGTATATCACTTTCTCTGTGTTGTGGCTGGAATATGGATGAATACAGTTAGAATTATAAGGTAATTTGATAGCATTATTACAGTATTGTTTATTAAATATGTCGGGAAACGAGCAAGTGGATCACGAAGGCAATTACAATTGAGTTGTCGAATTTGGGGACATGAAAAGGAGGATTGGGCTATTTTCAGAATCGACTGCGCATTATAGGGTCTCACGTTCAATTCATAAGGATTTTTGAAAAATACTCAGTAGTACTTGTAGCATTTATTCTGGAATGAAACCCTGTGTAAATATAGTAATAGACTCGCCCACTTTAACATGGTACTGTGCAAACATATTTGGTATAAAGTGGACTTTACATAATGTACACCTCAGTGAACGACAGATTAAAAAGAAAGTAGGTACCTACCCAGTTGTGCGACTTCGAACGCGAAACTGGGTACTTTTTTTAATCAAAAATAAATTATTTCGACTGTTCAATACAATAAATTATTAAAACATAATCACACTTTCATTAATTGATTATAAGATTTCGAAACACAACACTTCGAAACCTAACAGTTCGAAAAAGTATTGAATTTGGCTAGTTGGCAAGTACCCAATCCCGTTTTTCAAGTTCCCGTTCATGATTTTCGGTAAAAAATAAGTCCGTCTCCTAGTTCTAACTTCTAAGCTACCTCTCCACAAATTTTCATTCAAATCGATTTAGCCGATTTTCTTGAGTTATATATAGTATAACTAACACGACTTTCTTTTATATATGTATATAGATATAAATAAAAAGCTTACTGTGGACTTAACAGCTCCTGAATAAGTTTCTCCCTCTGCTTGAAGCAGCCGAGACTGCAGATAGCCTGGAGTACGTCAGGGTCTATGGCCTCCGCGGAAGGTAGCACCCTGGTCTGGACTACTTCCATCATAGGCAGCTCCTGCTCCAGCTCGCCGCGGCCGCCCGCCGTCACCCACGGGTGCCGCGTTATTTCTGCTAACTGAAAAAAAAAACATTTATGGTTGATTTTTTTTCTTTTAAAAAATTTATTCAAATTCAATTTTTTTATTTAAAAATTAAATTATAAGACTGAATGATTGAATGAATTAGGTATGGTTTACGTGTGGTCGCAAATGTGAATATGTGAGTTTGACTGAGAATCGGGTTCGATTCCCGGGTCGGAAAAGTATATAATATATAATTTTAGATAAGTAAATACTTGAGGTTCTGTTTTTCAAAAGTTACTCAGCTTAATATCGTGAATTGTATCCGATGTCAAGCAAATGCTCAGCTGCTATTGATTGGAACTCATTACAATAAAAAAAGTAAGTGTTACATTGTACAATTATATATTTATTATTGATCCCTTCGAGAAGTAAAGTCTTGTTGCTTTATACTAAAATAATTACCGTCATTCGTTTCTCGGGGTTAACTTCGATCATCCCTCGCAGCAACTGTTGGCAGTCGGGCGGCACGAAGTGGGGGACATGAAACACTCCACGTTTTACCTAGAAACAAATCAACATAAAATCTTAAAATATTGTGACTACCAACTACGAACTTGGCGGTACTCTACCGTACATCCGAAATCATGGTCTAAACATATTACCATTATACCATGCTGGAAATAGTTAGAAAGGTAGGTATAGGCTTTATGTTATTCATTATAAAACAGTGAGTATGAATGCGATAGACGTTGTGCATGATTTTAGTGCTGGCTAGTTTGGGGACGTTTTCAGAGTTTAGAATTTAGAAATTGAGAGTTTAGAGTTTAGAATTTTCAAAATAAAAACCTACCAAGGAAGTCTCAACATTGATAACGACCAATAGTTAATAAAAAGTTTATCATAATAATATAAGAGACAAGGTTGAAGATCTAACACTAAACTAAATAATATAACGACTGATTTTTGTCGTTATCTATGTTAAGACTCTAACCCCGAAAAGGTCAAAAACAAGTCAACAATAATTTTTAACTTGATAATTTAAATTAAAAACTCAGTTCTAAATTGAATATAATTTAGTTATTCATAACCAACCAACATTATAAATAGGATTTCCTTCATTTGTTGTGATGTTATTACTTTTAATTTTCTTACGAGTTTTTGCTTATAAAGTAAAGTTAAATACCTTTTCCAGTAATTGACGTAAATTATCATCGTCAAAGGGTAACGCTCCGACCAGCAGTGCGTATAATATTACCCCACACGACCAAACATCCGCCCGTCGACCGTCATACTTTTCCCCCTGTGAACAAACAAGTTATTAAGACCCACCTTTAAATAAATTTCGTGGAACAGAGTGATTAAAGTTTGTAATGTTGGCAGCACTGGATGGACTCAGTGTGGTGACGTAATGAAATGTAACCAATAAATGGGGCAATGAAAATAAATAATTTACGTAAATTAAATATCATAAATACATTAAAATGGTGATTTAATAGTTTCTATTAAATAATTTAGAATCAAAATAAAGTGCATTGTTCAATACATAAATATTTTTGATGACTTTATCGTAATATAATACCAGCCTTCGTTTTATATATTTATCTAACACAAAAGTTAACTTAATACTCATAATTATATTTATTGAATTTAAATAAGAATCCCGCGTCTTAAACATAATCATGTCGAGATTATTACCATAAATTATAACGTTAAAGTAACATCGCATAAAAGATACAATATTTTATTATTTTTTCAAAATCATGTTTTTGATTATTATCTTATTCGCAAAATGTGTTATTTCATATAAAAACCGAATACAGACATTAAAAATATTACCACATGCAAACATATTAATTTTATGGGTGTTTAATTTCTAACTGTTGCAACACTCCCAAGCCGTCAAAGTTAAAACGGCCGAATATTACCCAGCCGAATGCAGCAGACACCAACTGTCAGCCGTTACGTGAGACCGACTTATACAAAACACCAAAGTTAGAAAGAGATAACAAGCGTCGCAATTCAATAATTGAATTGTTTGTAACATATTGATAATTCATGAACGACCGTTGCTTTGATTTCATCAGTCCGTTGAAAAATAGAATTTGTGATAGTGTATGTGATATCAAAATACGTTAAAAATGAAATCTGCTAAATCTAAACAGAGATTAAACGACATGCGAACGCCGGCTAGGAGTAAACAAAACCTAATCGGTGAGCGCGATCCCGTGCAAGTGTATTGCCGACTGCGGCCTATGCAAAGAGACTCTGATTCACCATGTATGAAGATAATATCTCCTACTACGGTGCTTCTAACGCCTCCAGCAACTGCTCTAAGCTACAGAAACGAGAATGCAAAGACTATGAAGTACACATTCAAAGAGGTATTCCCGCCAGAAACGAATCAACAAGAAGTCTTCGATAAAGTCGCCTTACCCATCGTCGAAGGACTTATCAAAGGTAAAAATGGCTTGTTATTTACTTATGGAGTCACGGGCAGTGGCAAAACGTTCACAATGACCGGTGAGCCACAAAATTGTGGTATTTTACCAAGATGTTTGAATATTATTTTCAAAACTATAAACGACTTTCAAGCCCACAAATATATCTTTAAACCTGATAAAATGAACATGTTTGATATTCAAACTGAGGCGGAGGCTATGTTGGAGCGGCAACAGGAGCTCCATAAATTCAAAACTGGAAGGAAGAATAATTCAAATCCAGATCTAGCCATGTCCTCCTCTGACGTCACTAAGATCGAAGGTATCAATGAAGACAACCAGTATGCAGTGTTTGTGACCTATGTAGAGATATATAACAACAGTGTCTTTGATTTACTTGAAGACGGGCCTCCAATAAGTAAGAATTTACCTGTAAAAATCATCCGTGAAGATGCAGCGCACAATATGTATGTCCATGGTGTTACTGAAGTAGAAATAAAGTCTGCTGAGGAAGCTTTCGAAGCTTTCTATCTAGGTTTGAAGCGAAAACGTATGGCACACACATCTCTGAATGCAGAATCTAGTAGAAGCCATTCCGTCTTTACTATCAGACTGGTGCAGGCACCAGTAGATGAAATGGGAGAAGCAGTGATTCAAAATAAAAAGTTCCTGAACATTAGTCAGCTGAGTTTGGTTGATTTGGCTGGCAGTGAACGCACAAACCGTACCAAGAACACAGGACAACGTCTCCGAGAAGCTGGCAACATAAATAAATCCCTCATGACTCTACGAACATGTCTAGAGGCATTGAGAGAGAACCAGATCAGCGGTACTAACAATATGGTGCCCTACAGAGAGTCGAAAATCACACATTTATTCAAGAATTTCTTTGAAGGAGAAGGCCAGGTGCGTATGGTTGTCTGCGCTAACCCAAGAGCTGAAGATTATGATGAGACTCTCCAAGTTATGAGGTTCGCGGAGATGGCTGCTGAGGTTGAAGTGGCCAAGCCTCAAATTATCGACGTAGCTGCGAACATTGGCCTCACTACGGGCCGTCGTAAGGCCAACCGGCTATTCACAACAGCAAGAGACAATTTGTCCAGGCCAGAAGCTAAAGAATTGGAGATGGACTTGGGTCTGGTCTACAGTCTCGGACCAGACTTCCCGAGTATAGAATTGAATAGTTCTCAAGCTGCTCATATCATCAAGGAGTTGATGGCGCATTTGGAAATGAGGATAAGTCGGCGAGAAGCTTTGAAACGCAGCAAAGCTATCAAAGACGAGAGACTCAGATCTGCTCTTTTGGACCTTGAAAAAGACTCTTTAGAAGTCAGGAGCGAGAACGCGTCCTTGAGAGGTCAGTTGGCTGCAGCAGAACGCAGAGTCAGAGCTTTAGAAGAACGACTGACCGCCACTGAGAATGCGTCACTTACACATCAACGCAAACTCTCAGAAATGACTGAATACACATCTTCCTTAAAGAGAGAATTACAAGAGAAAGAACTGCTGCTCAATCAAAACAAATTCGACAAAGAGAAACAGAAGAAGATTCTGGAAAGGAAATACAATCACAAAATCGCAGCAGAATACGAGAAAGCGAAAGAAATACATTCTGAGAAGGAAAGGTTGAAGAATGCTATAGAAGAGAAGGAGAATAGGCTGAGAATAATAGCAGAAGCGTTGAACCGAGGTGATAATAATGACGGATTTAATAAGATTACTGGAGAAATTGGTGCGCAGACAAGCAATAGAGATTTCACTCCAGGTTCAACTCCTAGAGCATTACCAGCACATTTATTGACTCCCTTCAGCTCTGTACCTCAAACTCAGACTCAAAGGGACACGCCAGCATCATCTCGTCGTGGAGTCGCCATAGCCAATCCTCGTCATCGCAGATCATTGTCCGCAGACGGCCGAGGATGGGTAGAGCATGCACCAAACAAAATAGTCCCTATGGGTACTGTTATGAAGCCGAGCATCATCAACAGTAAAGTTGTTAACAAACTGACAAGTGTGAAAGACATAGCTAACTCCAGGACGTCTAAATATTGCCTTATATCCCAAGAACAGGATACAGATGGTGAATTGGAGACGAAATTGTATAAAGGAGATGTGGTGCCCACTTGCGGAGGTGGTGCTCAAGTGATCTTCAATGATGTTGAGATGTTAAAGCAGTTTTCTCCAAATAGAGAGTCTTCTCATTCTCATTCCAATCGTGTTTCTGGGACGTCCTGCGCTAGGCATTCGGGCAAGCGTAGGGATACCAACCACTCTCCGCCTCAAACTCCATCGAATACGAGCAAAAAACAAAGGATTGACGATGATTGATCTTCAAATGGTAAGAACCTTTGAACTATTCCCTTTTTTCTATGTTTTTGAAGTTTAGGATCTTGTGTTTCAAATGTGATCCAATAATTCAAAAGTTCTGTTGTAATGATTTGTTTATCGTAGATTGTGTGAGATTGTCTAAATAATTTTGTTGTTATTAAGTACTGTTAAAAGTTACACTAGTTTTTCTATTAGTTAGAAGATTTCTGTCAATATAATTTGGTATTAAAGATTTCTTTTTGGTATATTTTTGTATATTTTCTTTGATTATTAATGCCTATTTAGGAAGCAGCTGAAATATTAGGCAGTGCTAAGAGAAATTGATAATATTGTAATAATTAAAATACCATTAATATAATCTAGTTTATATAATTTTATTGTCTAATATATTACTAAAATACTAACTTTGTTAAGACTTCTGATATTATGAAGTAGCTGTAGATTTGATTATTGCATAAATTAATATAAGTTTGGGGTAAAATAATTAATATTTCCTTTTTCAAAAGATAAATGTACCCAAATAAAAAGATTTTCAAATCCTGATGGACTAGGGTAGCTAAAAAGTTTTGAACCTTAGTAGGTGTTTTTAAGTATTACTACACTCCCGCGCATTTATAGTTACTGTGCGGCACCTATTGAATATAAGGAGATGTTTTATAGGCGCCCTAGTACCTTAATATAAGTAAATTAATAATAGTTATTGTGTTTATTCAACTAATATTATAGTTAATACCTATTCATCCACCCTTAGATAAAAACATGGGATTTTGTTATCATAAGTATTAAAGACATTTTTTGACTGTGATCCATAGAAAATTGCTCATTTTACAAATTAATAGTTAATTATGTGCACATCTATAGCTTCTGTCTAACTCTTTGAACATAAAAGACTTGATTTTAAACAAGTATAACAAAATTTTGAAAAAAAATTAATATTCATTCTACAGTTGGGATTAAAGACCAGAGCTTAGTTTTTTCTTTTTCATTTCTTGAAAAACAGTTTCTGATACAAGTATTTTATTAATTGGTAACATATGTCGTATAAGAGGCCATTAGTTACCTTTAAAATGAAAAAAAGGAACCCTTTTGTTTAAATTCCTCCTCTATGAGATCTATAAAATGACAAACAACTGCTTCCCATTTCAAAAAGAAGAAAAAATGAAAGAAGCAAGCGCTAGTACAAACATCTTTGCTCCCAAATACAGCTGGACATGTATAATGTAATAGAAATTAATATTTTTCCTATACTTGTTTCATTGAGAAGCGTTTAGTAGCTTAATATCTGTATTAAAAACAATTCAAATATTTATATGTATGTGTATGAAATTTAATGTTTTCCCATTGATTATGTATAAAGCACTTATAAAGACATCTGTCATTAAAATTATTCCTTTTGTTAACTGATTATGTGAAAGAAAAATAATTTTGAAAATTTAATTTTTGTATTTTTACTATAAGTATTGTTTACAGTATATTGTGTATTGTATTGAAATTTTGTAAGTACATGCATACCTAGTCTATTTAATAAGTTGTAATATAGATCTGATTTTTTGCATGTTTTACTTCATTTATTTAAAGTTCTTTAAACAGAATTAACAATTTCACAACAGCATCATCGTCGTCAACCACTGCTGGACTATGCGCTTCCTCTACATAAGAGGGTTTGTCATAATCTCCACTTTAGCAGGCAGTTTGAAGATCGCAGTTTAAAGGAGTTTATCAGATATTTCTGCTGCTTAAATATATAGTCACTTATACTCTCTCGGCATCCATGAGAAGAGAATAATTTTGTGTTTTAGATAGAAACTTTGACTCTAAATAAATGAAGTAAATGTGTTCTGTAGAAACTGTGGTATTGAATTAAGTGGTTAATAATATTGTAATTTGAGTTATTTCGGAGAAATATTGCATTATTTATGAATTTTACTAATCACTACATGGTATAAAACAAAGTCGCTATCCGCCGTCTGTCTAAAAGTACGCAATGGATTTTGATGCGGTTTTTTTATAGATAGAGTGATTCTAAAGGAAGGTTTATATGTATAACACATGCATATTATACTCGTGCGAAGCCGGGGCAGGTCGCTAGTAGTAGTAAGATATTATAAATGCGAACGTTTGTGTCTTTATGTGGATGTTTGTTACTCAATCATGTCAAAATGGCTGAAGGGATCGGGATGATATTTAAGACAAGGGTAGATTATAGTCTGGGATAACATAATAATCTACTTTTTATCCCACGGGGACGCGGGAGAGGCCACTGGTAGAAGCTAGTGGTAGTATAAAACCTGTCTTTCTTACTGATCAAAGTTCGTAATAAGTACGATTGCTGAACACTGCCACGATTACCGGCCACGTAATGACATTATTGCATTAAACAAAGCCTAGCGCACCTTTTAAAGTAATAAAATAATCTAACATCGAAGAACGTATCGTTCAAATTGTAACTGGTTTTTTGATCCAACTTTTTAAATTCAAAAACAAAAGAGTAACTAAATATAGTAAGTTCGTCAGTATGTTTTTAACTGCTCTTTTTATAGGGTGTTGTTAAATGAAACCAATTAATAAATTAAATGACTCGACTTTTTTACAACTTGGGTAATTAAAAGCGTTAAAAAGAGGAAATCGGTAATGTTTGTATAGGGGTGATCTTTCCTGTAGGGTCATGCGGTTAAATCTGACCTTTGTTGAACTGCTTCTATGAATTCATTTGATCGTGGGCAAAGTTTGACTCGATTATGAGGTTTTAATCGCGTTTTGTCTCCAGTAATATTGACTATTTATTTTTATTAACGTAGCTACTATATTTTTGTGGGAAATTGAAGGAAAAATGCTGTAAATCCCCATTTTTATCGTTTATAGTGTAAAGTCCAAAAGGAAATGCTATTATGGGCGTTTAGTTTATCAGTACCTATGAGTTAATTTGTGTTCCCTGTATGACTAATATGAATTAACCCTGGTCATAAGAGTCATAACAAACATAATTGCGCGCGGACGGCGTTAGATGACTGACAAATGCACACGCGCTTTTCGCAATTTGCTCTCGAGGGGTACATTCATCAGATGTAACACGATTCGGTATTTTTGCGCGTTAGACCTTAACTGATATACCTACTTTTTAGTTAAATCTATTCCGAAATTACCACTCAATTCAACCTATCACAAAAGATGAAAGATAAAGCTCAAATTACTACTTCATTACAAAATTGTATGACGTGTTTCTCTTAAACAAATTCACTTAACTATTTTGTACAATCATTGTGATCCTACCATTTGTAGACACGGCGGCACATCACGCTTAGCAACCAGTATTAACTGACCCTTAAAGGTGCGGAATGATTGTATAAAGCAAGAACATGGTAAACTGGATGTGTATGGCTTGAGGTGTAGGCTATTTATCCCACGCGATAACCACTTAATTCAATTTTGACTACAGTTTTGCGTGTAATGTACTTAATTCAATAATAACGAGGATATGGGTTATATTTAAACTTTGGTTTAATTTAACGTTTAACTATTTTGTCGACGCCATGTTGCTTTTGTTGTAACGTTTTTTCCCGCCAAGTTTTTGGCGCGGAATTGTATTAAAAATAGTTTTCAATTGATTTTGTGTTGTTTTATTTATTTGATGCCTCTGTTTATTGGTTTGTTTGTCGACTGGTCCCAAATGTGGCTGCCGGGCCAGGGTCCCGGGTAAGGCAAAATATTGTTTTCAGTAATGGCATAGCGTCAGGAATAGTGTAATAGGGTGAACTGGCTGGCTCGGCCGTTGTAGTAGTTATACCACGGTTTCACAGGAATCCGGCGAGAGACTACACTTTTGTTATTTCTCACCGTGTGTGTGAGGTTGTTCCAATTTCCTGTCCTGGCTTAAGGACTGTCTACTCATATTTTTGAGGGAATGGGCTTGGTACCATCAAGTAATCTGTCTGCTCGTTTTCCCTCATCCCATAAAAACCGTCTCGAAATTAAACCTGAGGCCTCTTATGCGACAGTCGTACTTATTGTTTGTTCAATAATATTTCCTCGACACTCGATACACGATAAACGCTATACATAATTCAATTAGGTATAGAAATTGACAGGATACAGACAATCTCATAAATTGTTAAACGTAAGTACATATACCTACCTATGTAGAGCAGTGTGTACCTATTTGGCGCGTAAAGTTCATTGACATTATCCGTATTCGACCACGCCTTTTTATTCTCAAAAAAATGTTCTTATCATTCTAACTTCACGCCTAAGTATAAAGCAGTATAAGTGGCAAGCAACTGTCCGAAAATAATCATTCCGCACAGTTAATATTGACTGCACGGTTGGCGCGGTGGTTAGGTAACTAACTGCCGCACAACTTGTCGTGGCTTCGATTCCTGCACGGAACAGCTCTTTGTGTGCACAGATTTTTGTTCCGGGTTTGGGTAGCATGTGTAAGTGAACTTGTATGTTTGTAAACGCACCCACGACACAGGAGATAATCCTAGTGCGGGGCAAAGTTTTTTTAAAAAATAGACAGTTTCCACTCTCCTAATGAGTATAATTTGAGGAGGAGGATAAGGATAAGGATGACTGCCTCATTGGCCGAGTGGTCGCAAGTGCGACTGTCGGGCAAGGGGTCTCGGGTTCGATTCCCGGGTCGGGCAAAGTATTACTGGGGTTTTTTAAAAATCTCAGTAGTAGCACGGAGTCTGGAAATGTGCCCGGTATATGGCAATAGGCTCACCCCCTATTACATGGGACTCATAACATAAATAGTGAAAAGTGGGTGTTACTTCTATGTGCACCTCTGCCTACCCCTTCGGGGATAAAAGGCGTGATGTTATGAGGATAAGGGTAGGTATTGAAGAACCGATGACCATAATTTCGACCTTCGTGATGAGGAGTACCTATGTTTGATGCAAGGAGGAGGATAAAGGTTGTTATTGAAGAACGGATGATTGTTGGGGTAGACGTGTTATTTATTGGAGACTGTCTAGGTAATCTTAGTGTAGCGCACCGTCCAGGGTGCTTACTCTTGAAACCATTCTCAATGTCAATGCAATTTCAATCCAATAAAATCTCAATAATTATTCAATGTTTTACTATACAACCACAATCGTAGCTGTTACAATAGCATGCAGAGTACGGAATGTAAAGCCAAACTCAATACCATTTAGTTCATTAAATATAAATGCAATACGGGTGCAATGGGCGCTAGTGTTGCAACTCGAGAGTACGAAATTTCACAATACCAATGTCGATCGATCGAAATTGGATACAAGAGTAAGCCCCCTGGTAGGCGGAGAGACAATATTCACAAGTAGGGGTTGGATGAGTAAAGCTGAAGATCAAACTCATTGACGTAAGTGTGGGGTACCTATCTAAAGGTGACTTATGTTAGGTACTTACTCTAATAACTTCAGGGCAGGCGTAATGAGGACTGCCGCAAGATGTCTCCAGCAACGAACCAGCCGGCTGCAGTGATGCCATCCCGAAATCAGCTATTTTTATATTATTCCGCTCGTCCAATAGTAAATTTTCAGGTTTCAGATCGCGATGGCTGAAATAATAAAATTAAAAACGTTATTTTACATTTTCTGTTTCGGTAGTGTAAAAAAAGTTAAAGGGATGATACTACACAGATACTATCTACTTCAGTGTTTTAAGGTTATGAAAACTAGATGGCGCTAATAGTAACAATATTAAATACTGTGTTGTATACCGTTTTTTATTATATTTCTGTGGTTGTCTGAGTGACCGACAGTTGCAGAGCATAAAGGTGCTCCCACACAGCAGTTAACATAACGTTAGAGACTGACTTAGCATTTATTTTTAAACAAATTATAACAAAAGTAGTAGCAGTAAGTTGACATGTTGTAGAGTATGTTACACGCTATTATAAATGTTATAATGTGGTATAACGTTATAATATAACTGCTGTATGGGAGCATCTTAACGTGGGTTCGATCTATCATACGTTATTATTTTTTATATAATAATATTTTTTTTTGGGACAAGCCCGTCACAACCTCCCAAAACCGCTGCAACTTCTGTAAGCCAGGATTTACAGTAGATACAACCATGAAAACACCGAAACACTGAAGTCCGCGTCCCATGGAGTAACTGTCTTGGTTCCCGCAACGAAGTGAACAAGAAGATAATATTATAAGAGGAGAAGAAAAAAAAACGATAGTTTCCACTTCCCTCGGTGAATTACTGCAGGGGATAGAATGAATGTCTTTCACATAAGTATAAAGTCACTACTTGACATTGTTTATTGCGTTAGGAATTAACTGATTCAGTTAATATTAGTAACAGCTGTCTCTCATTGGCATTCCCATTGCACAAATGGCAGTAGGTACACACGGCTACACATCGACCTTTACATAACCAGTATAAACTGAACGTTAAATGTGCGGGAAGATGATGCGACGTGACACCAGGATAAACTGGTTATGTATAGATTAATGTGTGGCCGTGTGTACAAGCATACCCCTGTATATTTCGCTTTATCTACATTCATCAATCTCTTGCACTTGCTTCATGCACATGCTGGTCGATTGAGGATGCTTTTAATTTCGGCCTTTTTTAATGTCGCCTATTTCTTCAACTTGTGTCGGAAAAAAAGAAAAAGGAATATATGTGATACGTACCATATAGAATGACTATGACAGAAGTCCAGTGCGGATATGATTTGTCTAAAAAACCGGCGCGCTTCTTTGGGAGTCAGCCGGCCTTTCTTGACTAAATAGTCGAATAGTTCACCACCACTGACATGTTCTAATACTAAATATCTGGAAAATATATGTACAAAAAATAGATTAAAAACTGTTTATAAGTGAGGACAGAGTAATAATTATGGTCCACCCCCTTGTCAAGCATGGAGATTATAGCAAACCATCTTGTGTAGAGAAAGCTAACTGGCTTTTGGAACTGGGAATCATACCCAGCTCGATTTAATTCATTTTGAATATTTAAGTATTCTTATTTTTGAACTAGCTTGTTTCCCACGACTTAGTGCGGGTATAATATCAATTTTAGATGTTTGAAATTTCCATAATAAAAGTAGCCTATGTTACTCCTTACTATATCCGCTACCTGCCAATAAAAGTCTTGCAAATTTGTTTCAGCTATTCCAGATATTAGCCAGTACAAACAGACAAGCAGACAGACAAAAAATATTATTTAGGTATGTGTAGGTATATAGTAAAAAACGGTAATTTGAATATTACAAACAGACACTTCAATTTTATTTATCTATCTAGATAATGCATTGGAATACTCACAAATATTTCTTATTCTCGTAAACATCGGACAGTCCTAACACGTGGGGGTGCTCTATCAATTTCATAATGGCTATTTCTCGTTCCACCTAAAAAAAATAAGAAACTTGTATTAGTTCAAATAAAATAGCGATCGTTTCTAATCCAGTATATTTTGTTTAAAGTATTGATTAAAAGATGGCGCTGTTTACAACTTAGCTAAGAGTTGGTTAGAGAGCCAACTACAGCTATGTTCATGTCGCGGTTTCGATTCAAGTACGAAAAATAATTTCTTTTGTGATCCGCGAATTTATTCAATGTAGAGTTGGGATTGTGATGTGCATTTTAAAACTGTATTATGTGGTTAAGTGCACCCATTATACAAGAGCGTTTGAAGAAAAAAAAACTGAAATAAATAAATGACTTTGAGCATAAAAAATGTCTTACCTTCATCAGTACAGATTCGCTAAGTTTCTCCCGGTTGATGATTTTGATGGCTACCTTCTTGCCGGTGACGCAGTGCACACCCAACTTCACCAGACCTGAAATCGTTAGATATGGGGATTAATGGTTATAATAACCATTGAACAAATAGTTGAAGGCGAGGCATAACTCCAACAAGTTACGCCTAATAGGCACAATTGGGTTACTTTTCTTAATCAAAAGTAAATTATTTAAACTATTCAATACAATAAAATATTAAATAAAAATCACACTTTCATTAATTGATTTTATTACCAACGTCTTTTAATTATTTTTCCATCAGTTTTTTAGGAAATAAGTATGCTGTTTGACACTAAAAAAACGTGACGTCACAATACATAATATCATACAAAATTCATAGAAATCTGTCGTTTTTGACAGTTCGAAAAAAGTATTGAATTTGACTAGTTGGCAAGTACCCAATGGGCAAAAACCGATACCCCCTATATCTACTAGCGACCCAGTCAGGTTATTTCTAATTTGCCGTTTATGTTAATCGTAGGCATACAGCAAAATATAAGGGATTTATAGGATGACTGCAGAAATATTTATCTTCTCATAGTCATACACGATACTTTACCGCAGCCCCGACTCGAAGCAGGAATAGGAACGGTGTCGTGTTTAGACAGTAAGAGTTTGATACTCTCTCGTCTCACCTGGAGCGGGAAAGGTAATTTCATCCATCCATACAAAAATGGTTTAACTAGATTCTCAACTCGACTGAAGTGATACCACGGCCTCACAGAAAACCATGTGTTTCGTCCTGTGAGTGAGGTTTGGCACGTACCGGAAGCCCTATTCCCCCCCTCCCAGTCTCCCCAATCCCCGAATCCTCCTCAATCCTGGAATTCCCAATTCCTAAAAGGCCGGTAACGCACATTTGTAACGCCTTGGTATTCCAGGTGTCCATGGGCGACGCCGATAGCTTACCATCAGGTGATACGTCTGCTCGTTTATCGGCTTACGCCATGAAAAAGGGATGTAAGTACGTAGATATATGAAGTAGGTATCTAATGTAACCTATGGAGTTTCTTGCTCGTTCTTCTGCATAGGAATCTACACCTTGGAATGAGCAAATAGTTTCACTTTTAATTTTTTTTCTTGCCATTCAAAAGTGCCTTCCTGGTCTAATTGAAATAAATGATTTTGACTTTGACTTAGTTTTGTACCTAACATCTAGTTTGTGATCTAGAGAAGTTAAAATTTCCCACGGTTACGTTTGTTCACACTTTACATTTTAGATTTAGTGCGAAACTGGGGTTTAGTTTCAACATTTCCTGTACGACTTTAGAGCTGTTAATACCTCCCACAGAGAAATTATTTTTTTATATAACATTACGTATAAGTATCTTAATGGGGATGATGACAGGGTATGAAAATTAAAAATATAATTAGTCCGTAAGTTAGGTAATGAAAAAATATTAGACACGTATTTTTTTATTTTGTCGTATAATAAAACAATACTTAGATAAAACGAATCAAAGTTTAGGAGTGGGGGCTAAAACGTCATTTCTTAGTATAAAATGTACTGAGAAGTGACGTCACGCGACATTTCAAATCAATATATCTTCGAAACTATTCGTTTCTGTGAGAAAATAAAAAATACGTGTCTAATGTTTTTCAATAGTCTATCAGACGGACATTAAAATAAAAATTAGTCGTCTGCCCTAACATTGTACCTAAACTTAAGTTTAAATTCATTTCAAACTCGAGTGTCACATTCTAATACATCATACCTACAAGAAACAACAATTTTGTAGACCACACATGTTGTTTCGTGCAGGAATTGAACCTGCCACACGTAGGTCAGCCTTTAGCAGAGTGGGCCTCCTGTTACCTTACTCACAAGGATAAACACAACGCCACACGCAAGCATTGTTTCACACCGGTTTTCGGTGAGGCCGAGAATTGAACTTCGAGCCCAGCGTGCGAGTCAGAGATTGTAATTATATGGTATTAACTACTCTGCAGAATGTCCAACAAGCGTTTGATACCGAAGAAGGCACTATATTCAACACCATTCAGCCACCGGAGTCGGAAAGGGAAACAAGTGTAGTTCTAAATAATGACATTAAAACACGGGTAAGTGACTTGCGCACATAACGTAGTACCACGTAGTACACTCAAGTAGTTAGGTACCTAGTATATGTATTAGCTTTAGCCTAATAGTTACAGATAATCTTGTATTGGCCTACATGAAGAAAGAAAGAAAGTAAAACCATTAATTTCTGCGCAGAATACACATAAACTTAACAACTTCAAAAAATAAAATATAATAGAAAGCTTCGCTTCGTAAATGGATTTTTTTATGGCATAAACCGGTAAACGAGCAGACGGATCACCTGATGGTAAGCAATCGGCGTCGCCCATGGACACCTAGACCACCAGAGGCGTTACAAGTGCGTCACCAACTTTTTTAACAACCAAAGTATATCACTCGATCAAGGAATTTGACTGACTGACTATTAGTACAACGGGTAAACCAACGGACGGATCACCCGGTGGTAAGCGTTCAGCGCCATTGGACACCTGTAATCCCAGAGCAGTTACATTTGCCCATAAGCATTGCCTGTATTGCCCGCTTTTTAAAAAGGAAGTCGGTAGCTACGCTGTCTTCTTGGGTGATTGAAGATCGTGTACCTATTGGTTGCGAAATACCGCAGGTGACAGTTCTGTTGTTTAAGATAAAGCTTCGCGAAAATCGCGCAATTTTGAACCATCGATTGCACTCTAAAATGTGAACTCTTTCCAGGATCATAGTTCTAGCAGTTCTGAACATAATCAGCAGTTCTTCAGCTATGAAGTATCACTCAGCTGCCATACAGTCTGTGCCGCCCAGCGTCTCACTCAGGCCGATACAGGAGAATCAGAATACTGGGAATTCTATCCCTGATCCGATCAGTGAGTATCATGGAGTCTTTGACTGCCGACAGAAAACTGTTGAATAGTGTTGAAGGCAAAACTAACGCTAACCCCTGCCACCGGTAACAGAGGCAGCAGCTAACGTTGAGAGGGGATTTCCGTATTAAAAGCGTGTGAGATGTATGTAGTAGTATACCTACAGACTGATATAATGATGATAAACTATAGTTTATCATCAGTATATACAGACTGTTGAACACAGGCTTCCCTCGTTGACTTCAAAATCGGCTGGTTGGAAGCAAACTGCTATCCCGTAACTTTCGACGGTGACCTCTCGCGTCCGGCACTAGTCCGGGCCATGATGCGAAGAGGCCTGGGATGCTGTCTCCTCCTTTTGTGAAGCAGTCGTGCTAGCTAAAGAGGAGGCGAGGCGCGTGAGGCAGCGCAGCGCTGCCTCCTCACAGCCCAGCCATCGCGAAGGACACTCCGGGCGTCGAGGATCGCGGGACAATCACCGGCCACCGTTAGCGCGAGCCTGAGGACGGCAAGCATGGGTAGTTCGCGTTCCACGGGCGCCTTAAAGAGCCATCAGACCACCACGGATGAGGCCTAATGAGGGCTGATGCCGATACGAAGCCGTGGAGAACTTAACGGGTTACCGGAGCTCCGGCTCGAAGGGCAGGAGTAGGAACGGGGTGGTTTTTAGTCAGTAAAAGTCTGACACTCCCTCCCGCCTCACCAAGACGGGAGAAGTCATTCAATGATTTTCCCCGTGAAAATTGCTTTGAATTTTCACATACATATCTGTATTATACAAAGGCTGCGGGTCCGCAACCGCGCAGGGCGCGGGAAAAAAAGGGGCCGAGTTTTTACCTTCATTGGTTGTGAAAATAATCTCGACCTATGACGGGCGAGAATGTGATCGAGATCACAATGAATGTTCGAATTGCAGCATCTGCTGATAGACTATTCTGAAACCGCAGATGCATCCAGTAATTTTGACTTCTAATGAGCGTGTAACTACTTTATATAATGCACTTTCTGTTCTTTCATAGTCCGTTAAGATGACGGTATATTAATACAGTCGGGATCCAAGGCTTAATCTACTTCTAGCACGAAGGAGTCTTGAATAGTTTATCATAAACACCTATATATTGAATACCTAACCAAAAACAAATATTTGGCTGGATGTCTTCAATTTCAATACAAAACCTCAACGTAAAAATGTAGAAATATCTATGAAATACATGATATTTTCAACGGCAAAGCGTTGTGAATAGAATTGAAAGCCCATTCAGCAACCAGAATTGACTGGCCTCTAGGAAATAACATTGTTGAGGGTCTTGTCAGCTGTCGATAGGCCGCCATTTTGAAAACCAGGTCACCAATAGCAACGTTTGTTGGTTTGAAATTCGGTTCAAAAATGGAATTCTGTTCGTTCGTCGTTCAAATGGAAAGCTTTTTTTGTTTGTGTGGTTGGTGTAAATTCGTTCGTTACTGCCAGTTACAGTTATGTAATGCTTTTATTCTGCTTTCACATGTTTCGTAGCGTGATTTAGATCGACATTTTCAGTTTTTTTTTTTTTTGTTGAAATGTCAACATCTATATTACGAGAGTAACTCAGTCATAATTTTTAGTTAACCTAGTAATTTTTTTGAAGTTTCAAATAAATTTTTCATTGTTTTCACCAGCTAGGTAGGTAAGGTGTGTTATGAGGGGTCTCATAATATACCTATCTACCGAATAGGCTATATATCTAGACACTTTTTTTAAGGGGAGAAAATCATCGAATGACTGCTCCCGCCTGGGTGAGGCGGAAGGGAGTGTCAGACTCTTATTTGAGCCGGAGCCCCGGTAACCCGTTAGGTTCTCCGAGACACTAGGGGTGGTTAAAATAACGTATAACCCTTAAAATACGCTATTTTCTTAGCTTTTAGCGTTTGTTGTTTCCGTTCTCCCAATGTGTAAAATATAACGTTTCACAACAGACAATACAACGTAACAAATAGTCAGAACACCTACCACTGAAAAGCCGAAAATATAAGCCCCAATCTCACATTACCCGTGAAACGAACCCAAAACCTCTAGCTCAACAATCGCACTAACAACCACTCGACCACCAACCCAGTAATTTTATGAAACCATAATAATATTAACGTCGGAATTAAATTAAACTAAATTTATTACTCAGTGGTTGGAAGGTTGGAACATTGCCCACGTTCATTCAGCCAACCAATCAGGCTTCAATAATTATAACTAGCGAACTAAATAGCATTAATATTATACTGAAAGTACTGAAACTTCACAACTGCAATGGTAATTAACTAATTAATTGCAATTAACATAACATAACGCCTTTTGTCCCCGAAGGGGTAGGCAGTGCACATAACGGTACTTAATGCCAATGCACAATGTCACACCTACTTTTCACTATTTATGTTATCACTTATGAGTCTCAAGTAATTGGGGGTGAGCCTATTGCCATATACCGGGCACATTTCCAGACTCCGTGCTACTACTGAGATTTTTTTTAAATACAGTAATACTTTACCCGACCCGAAAATCGAACCCAAGACCCCTTGCCCGGCAGTCGCACTTGCGACCACTCGGCCAATGAGGCAGTCGAACTATAAAGCATTAATATTATACTGAAAGTACTGAAATTTCACAACTGCAATGATAATTAACTAATTGTATTTCTAGGTTATTAATTGCATCATTAATAGTAGAATAGTAGAATTGCTAAGCAACGGTGCTCGATGACTAGTCCCGATTTTGTTGAGAACATTTTATTAGTGTTTTTTATGGGACAAGAATGGTGTGAACGTTCGTTACGTTCTAATGACTGATTAATCCCCGAACGGTCACTGGCGACCGCTCTCCACTCACACCATTAAGACCTGATCTCTGATATTTAGAAACTACTATTGTTTGAATAAATGTTGTGGATTTTTCGTACGATATATAAAGTAAAAATTAAGTTAGGTAGTATTGTTTGTTATTATGGTCCGTGGCCAGCGAATCAATCTACTCGAATCTGTCAAAATTAATCGGGTTTTCGATGTTATGTCTATTACAATAAAATATGTAATAGACAGACAGTAAAGGATTTTTTTTAAGGGAGGAAAACCATCGAATTACTGCGCCCGCCTGGGTGAGGCGGGAGGGAGTGTCAGACTCTTACTGACTAAAAACCACCCCGTTCCTTCTCCTGCACGTCGAGCCGGGGCCCCGGTTACCCGTTAGGTTCTCCGCGACAGACAGAAAAGGATAGGTTGATATGCTGGCAACCGTATATCTATATTTATTGTAATCTTCTATTCCAGATCCATTCCTGACCAGTTCCTTGCTTCAAGCTTTAGTTGAAGAGTCTGAGAGTAAGAAACGCGTCCAACGGTATAGAGATGTCACCAAATGATATAAAATTAAATAGTTTCTCATTTAAATGATGTTTTATTCACAAAAACTACTTTTTTTTCGACGGGGGGAACCCTTCAAAGGCGCCAAGGTTTTTGGGGAAAAATACTAGGGAGTGTGGGATTTTTACCTCACTAAAACCTCCCCGGTGGCCACCATCCGCACTTGAAGGGGGCACCGGGTCCTCTTAGTATAGACTAAAACTACCTAAGACTTTATTTACCTGATGAATCCATCATGTCTTTAACTCGTTTTTTCACCAGTGTGGGAGATAGACGAGAGGCCAACTGAAGAACAGAGTGATCTTTTCTAGTTCACAGTGTGACTTTTCATCACTATTTCTATAATAACATCACGCCTTTTATCCCCGAAAGGGTAGGCAGAGGTGCACATTACGGCACTTAATGCCACTGTGTAACGTAATACCCACTCTTTATGTTATGTTACGAGTCCCATGTAATAGGTGGTGAGCCTATTGCCATATACCGGGCACAATTCCAGACTCCGTGCTACTACTGAGTTTTCTTAAAAAAAAACTCAGTAATACTTTGCGAGACCCCTTTGGCATCATAATACATTATTTGATAATAAGCCTACATTTTATGGCAATCAATGTGATTTAGTTAAGCAAAAATAATACATTAATTTGGTCGTCAAGATTTGGTGATCGAATACAATTTAAAGTAGAGTCGTGACTAAAATAGCTGGTACTATTGTATTTTTAGACTTTATTTTTCTGGTGTTAAGTAGATATTTTTGGTTACAAAACTAAGGGTATCAAAGCATTTTATGGTGGTCATTATATTTATTTCCCTTATACCTATAATAATCTTTTGACTGCCAATAGAAAACTGATGAAGGCAAATCCTTCTCTAACGTCGTTTTCCTTTTTGCCGGCAGTCAGCCCCGGTTTGTAAACTGACATAAATTTTATCTAAATTCCAAAAACAAATAAGTAGCACCTTTGTACTCTTATTTTATATATATATGTTATCCTCTGTGCTGTTTGTGTGTACATAAATTATTAAATAAATAAATAAAGATTTAGACATCTTATTTACCTGTCTGTCCCTTTCCCAAGGTCTTCTCCAGTCTGAAAGGTCCAACATACTGGTAGACCTCTGAGGTCCCCGTAGAACCTCCGCCTTCCATCTTTCACGCTTGACGCCGGGTCCAATCACGAACATAAAAAATAATCACATTTCACCAGCATTGTTCAGTCATTTCGCCGAAAGATGGCGTTGTAGTAAATTTATAGTCATTTTATTTTTTTCAACACAGTTGAGTCTTCCGGTTGACTTGCATTCCGATGTAGTGTTTTTTAAAATTTGTTATCTATGTTGTAATTCAGTAAAGTCAGTGTTGTTCTTCCTGAAAGTTAATAATACTTATTTTTACATGAAATTTAAATCATAAATGATTATACAACAATTCCTGTGCCTCAACGACTATTACTTCGTATGAAATAAATTACTGTATGGAATATTTGTAGGAATTGACAAATTTTTTGTATGGAATGTTAGTAAGAACTGGGAAAAATGAAAAAAGTAAATTAGATACTTATGTAAATTGGCGCCCAACTTGGGACTATCTAGAATCAAAATATTTTTACAAAATATCTGTATTAGTGAATTGAGTTTGAACTTTGAATCCACAGTATGAGGGAGCCGAGTCTCTATTAAATGCTCGTCTCATTGTTACGTCTTACGACCAACACCCGCGGGAAGAGAAGGGTTTTTTTTAAGGGGGGAAAGTTATCGTATGACTGCTCCCGCCTGTGTGAGGCGGGAGGGAGTGTCACTCTTACTGACTAAAAACCACCCCGTTCCTTCTCCTGCACGTCGAGCCGGAGCCTCGGTTACCCGTTAGGTTCTAAGAGTATTGTATTCTATAGTGACAAAATGTATTCTACCCTGCCGTCACCATACGTAACCTTTACTTACAGTATGTTTAAAGAAACAACTTATAGACTAAAGAGTCTATAAATTGTTAAGTAACCATTCATTTCTTAGAATCAGGGACTGCCCGATGTAATCGATAAATCTGTTTGATTATTCAACGGGTTTGATGTCCGTTTCAATGCAATTTTGTAAGCAGAATGCGATATATCGCTGTGTACTATGTCACATATATTATCACACAGATATTATAAACTAGCTACTTCCGCGCGGTTTCATTCGCTCTGCTCGGCTCCTATTAATCGCATCGTGATATTTTATAGCCTATAACCTTCCTCGATAAATGGGCTATACAACACAGAAATAATTCTTCAAATCGTACCAGTAGTTTCGTATATTAGCGCGTTCAAACAAAAAAACAAACTCTTCAGCTTTAATATTAGTATAGATGTAAAAGTTTATTTGTTTTTATGTTTGTCCGTCACCCACGCTGAAACTACTGAACGGATTTTAATGAAATTTGGTATACAGGCAGGGTATGGGCTGACTTAGGTGATAGGATTAAATGCTCCAATGGAATAAAACAGGCATAATATTCTACGCGGACGAACTCGCGGGTAAAACGTCTAGTTAGTTCGCATTTCTGCCGTGTAGTAATTGCAGAGTAGAATACATTAAAAATCACCATCTCTACTCCTCTCGTGGGCGTCTTAAGAGCTTAAGTACTACACATTTAACAGAAACCGGGTATCAATGATCTCTGATAAACCTGAACCTTATACACTGATGTCCTACTCGCCTGCGAGATTATGGAACATGGAGTGTTATACTCCAGCAATACCGCGGAGAACCTAACGCGTTACCGGGGCAATACTCCAGCAATGGACTACTTTAACTAATGGAATTTAGAACTGTTGAAAAATGTCTTTTGAGCCGCGGAGAACGTAAAAGGTTACTTGGCTCCGGCTTGAAGTCTGAAGTGCAGGAGAAGGAACGAGGTGGTTTTTAGTCAGTAAGAGTCTGACACACCCTCCCTCACCAAAGCATGAACTCATTCGATGATTTTCCTTCCTTAAAAACCTCAATCTTTTAGCATTTATTAAGACTGCCTATCTTTTCAGAGAAAAAAGACACCACGTTAATCATGGTCCTTTAAAATCGATCTTTAAGTTCATCCTTAGTTCTTTCGAAGTACGTTTCAAGCCTATCCGCCTATTTGTCAGGGATAAAACTTTTCTAATAATTGTCTATCCATATGTGTTGGTTAGTCTCAAACTAATGGTACAGCTTCGGTGGTGTTTGCCAAAATGGACGAGAAATGGGAGCATTGTATAGGTACAGATAGTGGAATTTATGGCTTTATCGAGTTTTGGATATTGTGTGGTTTAGTTTAGTAAAGGGATAGTCGGAATAGAAGTGCAAGTTTAGTTTGGTGGATCGGTACATATAGAGCAGCAAGTTCATTTAAATTTTGACATTCTTACTAATATTATAAATCGGAAAGTGAGTTTGTTTGTTCCGCTTTCACGCCGTAACTACTAAACCGATTGCTTTGAATTTTTGCAGACGTAAAGTTAGAAGTCCGGATTAAATAATAGAGTACTTTTTATCCCGGAAATATTTGATATTTCCGAGGGAAAACAAGAGTATTGGTATAGATGGCGCTGTGTGTATTGGTATATGTCACATAGGCTACTTTTTATCCTTTTGTGACGCGAGTAAAAGCTAGTAAATACATAAGTACACATTTTCATCAGTTACCTAAATTAACGTCCCACACCCGAATACTGAAAGACTACTCAATTTTAAATTGTACTTAAATATCGTGCCCTTTCAGTTAATTTACAATGAATTTATAGTGACATAACTACACCTAAGCGGGGCCTTACAATAGGGCAGATGCCTAATTTTATTTTAATGTAAAAAATATTAGACACGTATTTTTTATTTTCTTACAAAAACGAATACTTTCGACGATATATTGATGTCAAGTGACGTCACTTCTATGTAGCTGTACATTTTATTCGTAGAAATGACGTTTTAGCCCCCACTCCTAAACTTTGATTCGTTTTATCTAAGTATATTATTTTAATATACGACAAAATAAAAAAATACGTCTCTAATATTTTTTCATCACCTACTGACGGACTAATTAGATTTTTCATTTTCATACCCCGTCATCATCCCAATTGAGTGGCGTTTGAGTATTTGGGCGCTAAATAGGTGACGCATCAGACGATGGCATGGTAGAATACAATTGTCCTCACTGCTACTCTTCCTAATAGTGGAGATTATGGCAAGCCTTATTTAGAGATGGCATATAGGTAGTCCAGTGGTAGTCCCTCTTACGAGACTCGCGGGAATAGTATGGGTGGTGAAATAGTGACAAATGTATTCTACCCTGTCCAATAACTACAAGACACCCCTCAAAGCTGCGTTTATGAATTCGTAAATTGTAGGTTGTAAACTACAAAAATCCCAAATGAGACGAATTAAGTAGTTATGTAGGTGTACCTAAACAATGAACTGGAAATTCCTGAAGTGACAATCTTTCAGTTTTGACTGCAATTATCTCGGCGCGGTGTGGGTACAAATATTTTCAGTATTCAGTTATAACCGAATTGGGTCAACGTGGAAGCCTTTTTCGCATTATTGGATGACTGCCAGTCTTTTAAGGTTCTGAAAAGGTGCATTAGAAATTACATTTTTGATATAACGGGCCGTAATTTTACTTCTAGTGATGGACAGAGGTGCGCATTTATAACGTCACTAACACCCACATTTCATCAGTTAGGTACAAATGTCAATTTAAAATAGGCCGTAAAAAAACAATCAACTCTCATTTGCAGACTATAATAAGTATGTACATAACAAAATCAATTTAAAATTTGGAATGAAATGAAATGATATCGTTTATTCGTAAACATAGATTATATAAAGTTATTTGAATGATTGACATATAATGCAATACCGCGAGTCCGTATATGTTTTGCCTTGAAGCATACAAATTAATATAAGTATTAGTAAATAGATTTATTATATGTATTGACTTAACAATACGCCTTTTTTGGTAGAAGGAGTAGAATAAGCTGTTTTTATGTTATATTTAAGTAACGCTTGCATTTTTTGCCAGATACGTATATTAGGCATGAGTTCTATATAATAGGGGCGAGCTTTAGGTACCGTGTACCGTGTCCAGGAGTTCCTGACAGATAATAGGAAATCAATCATAATTTGACCGACCCCAAACCCGAGGCCTCGTGCTTGATAGACGCACTTGCGTCCACTTTGACCAACGAAGTAGCCTGAGTGACGTTTGCACAATACTATTTTGAGAGGCCTATAAGAAAAGTCTTTTTTTTCTGTGATGTATTTTTCATGAAATTCGACAATCCACGTTTGACAGCAAGTACTTATTATGTAGGTAAACCTTGAACCTTAGTTTTTCAGTTTAGTAACACCGGTAATTCTAGGTCTAATCTGATTAAACACGAGCCTTCACTAAACAGCGCCCAACTGGTAACTAATTACTGTTTATTTATGTATTTAAAAGTTATTTGACTGCTTTGTAATTTAGTACTGGTTGATTAAATCTAGAAAAGCATAATTTTATCGGCCGAATCACAATCACTGTCTCTTATAATACGGGTTCCCCTAGTGTAAGAGACAGGGTTTAACAGTGTCTGCGCATAGATTTATGTCTTTTAGATTGAAGATTTGCAATCATGTATTTATATCTATGTATGTTTGGTGGTAAATAAACTATTATTATTATTTATTAGTGGTCGTAAGGTTCTTAGCTTGATTCCCGAGACAGGTACGTATAACTTTCGGTTTTCCGAAAATTCGTTACTACCTGGAACTATATCCGATTATAGGCTCACCCATTAACCCCCTATTGTATGGAACTCGATCGTACCTCGTAACAATACTGGTGAAAAGTGGGTGTAACATTTTATAGGAGCGACTCTGTCTACCCCTCGGAGATTAAATGCATGACGTTAGGTGAATGAGCTTTACTTTTTCTTAATTTTAAATGTATTGACTTACAAGGTTCAACCGTGTTGCTTATGTCATGGTCACTACCACTACACATCTTAAACAGGATTTTCGTCACACTAAATCATTATTATTCTTCTTTTCAGTCTGCTGGCAAACGCGTCTTCTCACACGGAGAAGGTATGATTATTAATCACCACGCTTGCTCAAGGCGGATTGGCAATATCAAACTTATGATTTGAAATTAGAAGTTTC